ACACACACACACACACACACACACACACACACACACACACACACACACACACACACACACACACACACACAGGACACACACACACACACACACACAGACACACACACACACACACACACCAACCACACACCACCAGACACCCACACACAAACAGACACACAACACAGACACACAAACACCAAGAGACACACACACACACACACAGAGACACACACACACACACACAGAGACACACACACACACACACACGCACACACACACACACACACACAGACAGACAGACAGACAGACAGACAGACAGACAGACAGACACACAGACAGACACACAGACAGAGACACGCACGCACGCACGCGCACGCGCGCGCGCGCGTGCGCGAGCGCCCACGCACACACACAGAGACAGAGAGACAGAGACACAATGACAGAGACAATATCGGGCCGGGAACCCAAAAGCAAATGTAACCAGCAACAGCAGCATGTCCGAAGTGGTGATTGCAGGTGTTGCTAATTGATGTAATTAGCCGAGTTTGGCAAGCCACGCTTGGGATTCCAGCTGGAGTCGTCTAAGCAGAGTTTCAGAAAGATTGGCAAAACAGTACAGCCCCAGAACCCTTGTCGCAGACACCCAAGTTGCATTTGCTTCTTTTGTTTCCATGTTCTTGCAGACTCTTGCGAAGCTGCACACGGAGCGTTTTCCGATGGAGGTGCCAGGGCAGCTGCATGAGCATGCATAACAGCCGACCTGCTGAGAGCGAGTTCCAGCATGATTAGGATTTCGTGAACAGGTTGGCCAACAAGAAGACCTGATACGCGGCAGCGCGTCACAGGCATGCACTTTCTTTAGCATGCATGCGTTCGGACTTTGGCGACATTGCGTGGGTACAGGTAGGCCGCATCGGAACTTTTCTGTGGATCACTACCCAACTAGCCAAGAAACCACATTTTCCAATCCACTGCTCTGCAAAGCGCGCCCCCTTGGAAGTGTCCATGAATGATGCAGGTGGCATTTTTAGACAGCATTCAGCAGTTCCACAACGCGTGGTCAGCGGCTCTGCATTTCTGCTTCCTTTATGTCATAGGAGTCCAAAACATTCTCGAAGTGGTTTATATATCATTTATCAAGGTCAAGATACTGGAGATTTTCTGTGGCAGCCTTCGAAAGCTTGGCCGAGCCATGCGCCAAGTTGGGCAGAATCTCACTGTGTTCAGAACGCGAGTCCGGTTCGCTGTCTCGCTCACTCTCTGTCCATCTCTGTCGCTCTGTGTGCCTGGCCTTCCACAATGGAGTTTTAGAGCAGTATCATTGAAGAGGTCTAACAATTTTTTGAAGAGAGGCTAGTCCATGTCGACGTATGCTCAAATCATGTGAAGGGTCTTGGTTTGCTTTTGTTGGGGCTTGGGGTAGCATAAGGTATTCCCAGCTGGTCTGCCTGGGCGAGCAGCAGAAGGCGACTCAGGCGTGGAAGGAGCCCTCCGCGCTGGTATGGCAACACATGGCAACAAATCTGGCAACATGTGGCAACAAATAAGGCAGCAAGTATAGCAACATATGGCAACATATGGCAGCATGCAGCAAGCTGCAATGCGCAGCATACACGTCTCTCTCTCTCTCTCTCGCATGATTTTGCATGCGTGATCTGTTACACGGCTGTGTCGGCAAGAATGTTCGCACATCGGGACGCCTGAAGTCGGATCCTCTGACCTGCTGCCGTTGGCTCGAGCTTTCTGGGACGCAGGCTGTGGCGAGGCTCACACGGGTGGCGTGTGTTGACGGAGTGACGCTCTCCTTGCATCGGCAAGGAGTGCTAAAATTCATTCTGAAAGGCGGCGAGGGAAGCCGCTTTCAGCGCAGGAGCATGGTCAGGTCCGTCCCGCGCACATTCTATATCTTTCAATACGAATTTATACAGGCTTCTTTCTTCCTTTTGGAGTTCGATCTAGTCCATGTCGCTTGTTGTGGAGATAGATATATGCCGGAATTCGTCCAGGCGTCGGATTTTGGGGCTGTGCTGCAGCCTTAGATCTCCCCTCTCAGGACATTGGCATGCTGCTTTGGGACGGGACGGGGCAGCGACGTGGTACACGTATGTCAGCCTGTGACAGGTTGCGCCGGGGTCTTGCTGCTAAGCCTTGTGCAGGACATGCTCTGTGGTGCAAGCTGGGAGAGATGATGGGAGATGTCAGATGCAGATACATGTCTGTCCTTCAGGAGGCAGCTTTCACCTCAAGCAGGCAAGCATAGGGGGAACCTGGTCGACCTGATACGAGTTCTGTTGTGCGACACGGAGCTACGTCCAGGAAAAGCTGCGCACCCACGCTGCGCCCTACAGAGGCTCGGCAAGGGATCGGCACGGCCTTTGGTCTTTGCTTCTTTGCTCAAAAGTCTCTGTCTTGTTTTTTGTCTTGCCACGAATGGAAGTGAGAGTCACCAGCTCTGCCCTGTGCTCTTTGGAATGAGAGATCTCCATGCCGAAGACCAGCAGACCACGGGCTGCACATGGCTTGCTAGATATGCATGGGAATTGTGTTGATGGCTTGCGAGTCATTGCGAGTCTGTGCTTGATGCTTGTCAGCATGCGTGTGCATGGAAGGCTGCCGTGTGCGATCGAGTGGCGAGACATGCAGAGGCTGGCACAGATCCGTAATTCTTCGGCTACGTGCCGACGGTCGTGCAACGTCAGGCCTTCGATCCTTTTGGATGGAAGGGTGCTCTCAAAGACACCGTTGAGGGCCTCATGGACCGGTTTTGTGTGGCAGAGTGATCTTGCAGCATCCTGGCATCGCGACCAACATGGCGGATCGCCATTGTTGAATGAAGGACAGCCTGGGCACGGATGAAGAGTCAGGGCCACATGCAAATGGTAGGTTGAAGCTGGTGCAGGGGAAGCAATGCCCTGAGGCCTAGCAAGGAGGAGGAGCAGATGGTTGTGGAGGAGCGACCAATGCGTTTTGAGTCTTGAGTCGCCTTGATGCTTGCCCCAGCATGGATATTAGAAATAGGGTTCATATTACAGTTTTTGTGATGTATGGGTTTTTATAGATATTGGTGAGAGCATATATGATCAGGGGGGCCCTTCGGTCCCGCCCGTGTGGTGTGGTCCTCCCCCCCCCCCCCCTCTGGCGTGGTGTGGTTGCGGGTTGGGTTAAGGTTTAGGGTTTCTAAATTTGAGGTTGAGGGTTTACGGTCCCCCGCCCCCCCCCCCCCCCCTTTTGTTGTGTTGTTGTGTGGTTGGGGGGTTGGGGTTTCGGGTTTGGTTTGGTGTTTAAGGTTTAGGGTTTAATTGGGGTTGAGGGGGAAGGAGGGATAGCTTGGCCGGGACGGGGGGAATCCATGCAGGAGGGGGGACTGCGAGCCGCAATCATACTTGATCATGTATGGCCCTCTGGGTGTGGTTGTGGGTTGGTTTTGGGGCTTGGGGCATCTAGATGCTTCTACAGTTTCAAGGTTTAGGGTTTTTACGTAGGGTTTTGGCTTGAGGGCTTTGGGCCCTAAACCCGGCCACACGCCAGCCCTCACCATACATGGTGCAGCACCCCCCCCCCCCCTGCATTCCTCTTTGGCGGGTCGGGGCGGGTTCAGGATTCGGGTTTTCGGGGTCTTTCGGGTTTTAGGATTTTAGGGTTTGGGGTTGCAGGGTTTGAGGTTCAAGGCTGTGCCTGGGGTTTTTAACGGTTTTGAGGGTTTGTTGAGGGTTGCAAGTTTTAGGGTTTTGGGGTATAGGGCCTGCGGTACAAGGTTTGCGTGAGGGCTTTGAGGTGGCGTGGGGGGGGGGGGGGGGGGCGGGGGGCGGGGCATAGCATGGGAGGGGGGGGGGGTTGTGTCCCTTTTCTGCTTTTTCACCCTTCACTGTACCGCCCAGCGGGTGGGTTGCTTCGGAGAGGATGATTTAGAAGGGGGACGGGAGAGAATTACCCCCCTCTCCCCCCGGGCTCGAAGAACAAGCCGAAGCCGCCCCCGACGGTGGCCGTGGCGGAGCTTCCGAAGCCTCCTCAGCCGGTTGAGCCGCCGCAGCCCCAAGAGCCCCCGCAACAGGCCCCGCAACACCCGCAACAGCCCGTGCCCCCTGAGCGGCCTTCGGGCATGACGCCCTCGGAGGCCCGCCACTCCCCTCCGCCCCCCCCCCCCCCCCCCCCCCTCACCCCACTCCCCTCCCTTCCCCACCCCTGCCCCCCCCCCCTCCTCGGGGTTAGGGTATAGGGTTGTTGGTTTAGGGTTCAGGCTTTAAGGTTTTGGATACCATGCCGGGGGGGGGGCTGGCGAACCGAGAGCCGGGATCAAATATTGAGTGTACGCTTTGGGAATACTAGCAAAAGCATCCTGCATATTCCATGTTCCTTGACCATGGGTTGTGTGCCGGCTCAAAGAAGCAGTGGACAAGGGCAGGGGGGCCGTCCCACCGAGTCTGCTTAAAAATCGTCGCACCCCAAGAAATCTACGCCTTCCGACCAGTTTGCTAGCAGCAAGTGTGTGTGTGTGTGTGTGTGTGTGTGTGTGTGTGTGTGTGTGTGTGTGTGTGTGTGTGTGTGTGTGTGTGTGTGTGTGTGTGTCTGTGTGCCCGAGGCATAACCCTATAAACCCACAAAAAGAATCTGCTCGACGCCTAGCATTGGACAGCTGAGACATCTGGCACGTTCTGCGGCACGCTCAGCTCGCAAGCCGCAGCCGCTCTCAAGACTGAACCGAGGTTTCTCCAGTCTCTTGTGCGTGCTGCGTCCGAGGCAGCGCCCTGCACTGAGGCCGAAAGCACAAGAGACAAAAGAAAAGCATCAGACACATGATCAGTACATGACCTCATCGGTGGCAAAGCGCACTTGCAGGCCTCTTCAAAGCGCTCGACTCACTTCTCCTGTTGGCCCCTCGAGCTGCAGCAATATGCCGTAAAGAAAAGACTGGAACTCGTTCAGGGGATGCACGCAGCAGGTTTCGACAAGCAAACTAGAAGCGCAGGGTGATGTGATGATGTATGATGGCCTTGCGATGCATGGTTGAACAGGCAGACATGGCGGGAGTGGCTTCGCTGCAAGTTCGTTGCAAGACTGTAAGTGCGATGTACCCAGTTTTGAGCGCAGAAATGTGAGACGAGCTTACTGAGGTACCTCAGTTTGCATCCTTGCGCGCCGTCCTGCTTTTTGCTGCCTTTCCATGAACTGTTAGAATAATAGACGCGCAGTAGCATGACAGGTAGCTATGCTAGACGCTACTGTGATTTGTTTACCATGTTGCATTCCATTAGCATCATCTTTCGAGCCAGGTACGTGGGTGACCTACACCCGGATGTCACTGAGGCACCGCCGGTCAGTCCTTCTCAGACTGATGGGTTGCGGTGAGCACGAACCGATGACACATGAAAGCATCGAAGCAGGCCATGCTCTACGAGATCTTTAACTCTGTTGGACCTGTTGCGTCCATTCGTGTGTGCCGCGACAGCGTCTCCCGCAAGTGCGCCCGGGAGGAGGGAGAGTTTGAACGCTTGAGAGAGAGAGAGCGGGAGAGAGAGAGAGTCAGGGGGTTTAATAGGGGGGCTTGTCCTCGGTCCAGTGCTTCCTCTCCCCACAACCGCCTACACCAGAGGCCCCCCGAATACCGGGGCGGGCGAGGACGCCCGGGGGTTCGCCCCCATGCGCCCAAGAAAGAAAGAAAGAGAGAGAGATACATGTATATATATATATATATATAGAGACAAAGTTAAGAGGAAGAACAGATAGAGAACGTTAGGGGGTTACGTGCAGAGGAAGGAAGGAAGGCAGATAGAGAGCGAGTGTCGTTCTTTTGTAGCCATATTGGCTAGAGATGGGATGAGCACAGAGGGAGAGAACCAACAAACTCCAGAAAGCGTTTAGGCTCTGTTGGTGGCCACGTGCAGCGACTCCAGCAATTTTGCATTTTTGCATGTCAGGTCTCTTGGTTATGGCATCTTGACTGCAAAATTCAACGGCGAGCACCCTGAATCCCTTGATGTGGATTCGAATTAGCAAGCATTTGTCAGGTTACGTCAACTTCCACAGCGTCTCAGATGCTGAGCGTGCTCTGGACACGCTGAACTACTCAAGCATCAAGGTGCGGATAGCTCGGAGCTGCATATATCAAGCAGATGGAAGCCAAACCAAAGCCTGTCACAGGGCCGGGCATGCCGCATCATGTGGTCCCAGCGCGACCCTAGCCTTCGCAAGAGCCGTGCCCCCAGCTGCGAGTTCGCCATGCTCAGTGCATTTCATGAGAGAGGAGTTGGGGAAGGGTGCTACAGTGCTACGGATGTCAAACAAATTTCGGCCGTGGGAGGTGGCCTTGGCAATGTTTTCGCCGGGAGCTTTGCCTGCTGAAAGCTGTGATCCAGCAGCGTTGTAGCATTGTCAAAGCACCTCAGAGAGTCACTTTCAAGACAATGCACAAGAATACACGACAACACATAATGTTAATGCTGCGTGCGTCGCTCAGCTCAAGCGCGATCCCGGAATCGAGCTACTTGCACGTCGCACTGCGCAGCACCCGCGCCCGGAAACAGTCTGCAAAGGTTGTTCGTGTGAGAGTGACCGCGAAACCCGTCTCAGGGCAGGGCTGGTTTTCCCAAAGTACTCTTGTGACTGCTGCAGTAACTCCTGCCAGATGCTCTTGAGCAATTTGTAGCTCCCAGCCATCTAGAAAGTTTCCACGCCCTCCCAAGACAGACCACAGGCCCAGGCCTTTCCAGTGCCCATTTCCCAAGGATTAGGGTTCGTTCGTATTGCACGCGGAAGCGCCTGAGGTTGAGGTTTAGGTGGACACGCAACAGCATCCAACAAAATCATCAACAGCTTAGGAAGTACGAAACCTGATGGGATTCACGAACCCGAAAGCAGACACGTGTCACCAACTTTGGCAAGAAAGATACGACGTGAAGACCTGAAACGGAGCACGGGACACAAGGACACGACGCGAGGACACGATACGAGGACACGACCCGAGGACACGACACGAGGACACGACACGAGGAGACACGAGGACGTGACACGAAGACACGACACGAAGATGAAGACACCGTACGACACAAAGACATGACACGAAGACATGACACGAGGACACGACACGATAACACTAGACGAGGACACGACACGAGGACACGACGCAAGAACACGACACAAGGACACGATTCGAAGACATGACACGACACGAGGACACGATACGAGGACACGACACGAGGACACAGACACGAGGACACAGACACGAGGACACGACACGAGGACACGACACGAAGACGAAGAAAACGATACGACACGAAGACATGACACGAGGGGGGTGGGGGGTGGGGGGTGGGGGGCAGGTCCGGGGTGTCGGGGGTGGAAGCGCGACACTCGCGAGCGCTTGCGGACGCTTGCCAGCGCTTGCGCTGCGGGCGCTGCGCGCGGATTTCGCGACCCCCAGACCCCCAACCTCAAAACGAGAACTCTTCTGCTGCGCATTCCTGAAAACATATGAAACCATTCGATTCACATTCTTGTCAGAAGAGAAGCAAAGCCATCTGAGAGAGCCATCTGAAAGCTCTGAGGTCCGAAACCTGGATCGGAACATCGACAACAAGGCCTTGTACGATACCTTCAGCCTCTTCGGGAACATTCTCTCGTGCAAGGCGGGAGTTTTGTTGAACATATGCAAGGAGTCATGCCAATTTCACGTTGCTGTTGCTGTGCGACTGGCACGTCTGCCACATGCGGTGTTCGCCCGAACTGGCGGAATCAATCATGTACGCCACCGTCGCCAAGCAATGCCTAGTGAGTATGTAGCATGTCTGCTGATGTCTGCTGTGCCCTCTTGGAAGGTTTGCACTTCGCCAGAAGGCAAGTCCCGCGGATACGGTTTTGCCGGCGACTGATGCACGGTTCGGTTTTGCACTCTGCACGCTTCTCGCGTGTCTCCTTTCCTTGCTATTTGTCGAGTAGTCGACGTAGAATGAGGCAGAGATAGGCCGCGCGTGAGCTGCAAGACTGTTTGCGTGTTGCTTACAGTTCCATAAGACTTGGATTAATCTTGGATTCAAGTCGTCAGCGGAGCTGACGTTGTCAGAAGTGGCTCCGTGGTTAAGTGTTAAAATATGCTGTTGCCATGTGCTATGCTGCTTCTGAGGTGCACTACGAGACCGAAGAGGCGGCCAAGCAGGCTCGTGCGAAATTTCCCAGTCGCGAATCACGAAAACAGAACGCACAACACTGAACAACACCGTTTTACAACCCTGACAGCAGCAATTTGTCCTTCGCTGCGCTTGCAAGTTCTTTCGGGAATGCAAGAGGGATTCGCAGATGGCTCTGCCGCAGTATGAAAGGGTCCCAGCATGTCCCAACCAAGCACAGGCCATCGAGCGTGTCGATGGCATGCAAATCGGAGAAAAGACGGCTCCCGACCTCAGGATGCAGAGTGTCAGTGGAGTGATCGGATTTGATTGAGCACAGCCATGGGCTGCGGGAGAGGTGGGTGTGACCGGCTTCATCAAGCGTCAAGAACGTTGGAAGCCTTAGTGGAAGCACCTCTGTCAGTGACTAGGGCCTAGGGCAGATTGGATGGGCAAGCAGAAGCTGAGGTGATAAGCCAGCAATGAACACCTTCACCAATGCCGGGATCCAAGATCAGTGGCGCTTTCATTTTGGAATAGTGCAACCTCTCTCGCTCAGATCTACATCAAGAATTTCCCCAACGAGTGGGACGAGGACAGTTGTGGTCTATGGGCCTTCCCCGCTACATTTTCGCACGAAGAGAGGCAACCGCTTCCATCTCGACCCTGCTTTCATAGGACAAGCTTAAGGCTGAGTTCGCACCTCACGGAAACGCTGGCAGCTCACTCTCGCAGCGATTCGCAGCATGGCTCACATGAAATAGGGAGGAACTGGGCAATTCCTGCATGCCATGCAATGCTCAGATTACGTCGTCTCACGTGACCACCGACCCCAAGGCATGTTCTGCATGAATCTGCCGTACGTCATGGGTCGGACTGTTGGCTGTTGGTCAGGGGCGAAAGTCCGCGTTCATCAACTATGAGACTCACGAGGAAGCCGTGCAGGCTTCCATATCTTTCCAATAATGCGCACAGAGCACACAGGCTTGCTCGGGTTTGCAGGGGCGACTGAGAGGGGTACGTTTCGCAGGCGATCAATGCTATGCATCAAAAAGACTTCCGTTCGGATGAGCAAAAGGAAGCTGACAAGGACACCTCTTGTGAAGTATCTGCGACAGATGGCATGGGAAGCATTGCTCGACTTCAATTGCCGAGAATGAGCGTCCAAGCCTTGAAGGAAAAGGAGGAGGAAGAGAAGGATCGCACAGAGAAGAGCAGCTTCCTTGTAGTCAGAACTCGCTTTATAGCCGTTTGATGTTACATTGACTTAGATGGTTTTCTACCACGCCATACCTGCTCCAGTGCTGCCAAGATCTGCCAAGAATACGATCAGCACGTCGATGCTCCATGCGCGTCGATGCGCGTCGATGCACATCGATGCACATCGATGCACATGTCGCGTTGTGCTCTGCCAAGCTGAGCAACTTGAAGAGAGCCCGAGGCTACTTGCTCTACGTCGCCCGCGCGCAGTCCAAATCCGAGCGCCTCATGGAGCTGAAGGCCCCCTCCACATGGCCCCCTCAACAGCCACAGCCTGCGTTTAGAGGTTGGGAGATGTTTTTTGGCAGGGTCGGGGCGGGGGAGGGGGGGACTCGACAGCCTGAAGAGGGGCCGCGGTGGAAGTTGGTTTTTGGGTTCTCCTGGTCCTGAGGAGAAGATGCCACCCAAGGAAGCGCCCGGAGGCCCATCCCGGTCGCAGGGCGTGAACCTCTACATCAAGAACTTGGCCCCTTGACCTCAGAGAGAAGTCGAGAGACGGGTCGAGAGCTTGCGTGTTGATTTAAGGGCGCACGCGTCCGGCTTCCAGCTCGTATCGGCCTTTTCATCACAGCCTTAGCCTCAAGTCGCCAAGGACGAGGCAACGGATGATGACTCCTTGAGGGCCCTCTTCGAACCTTTTGGGAACATCACGTCCGTCTGCTCCATGAAGGACCGTGCCGTGTGCTCTGAATTCCGTGAATGCTGCCATCAGAAAATCGCGCTGCCTCCCGTTCCTCCCGCCACGCCCAGTTGAGCCCAGCAAGACCCGCTTCAGCGGTGCAGCCTTGCGCTGGGGGCACATCCTGTTGGCATCCCACTCCAGTTTTGCATTGTTTTGGTTGGTTCGTGGCGGTCCATCGGGGAATTTTGCTGGTTCTGCCAAGCTCCGGTGGGGTCATTTTCAACGTTCTCCTCACATTTTCGGAGTGTCGTCTCTTGCACGTGGCTGAATCGTTCGTGACGTCTTTGCTCGCCACCAGTGTTTGGGCATTGCACAAATATGCTTTGGGTCGAAGTCTGAACGCCGCTGGGCCAAAGGGTCTGAGCTTGTGTTCCGGTGCCGTGGGCTGCAGGAACCCAACGGCAAGTGCAAGGCCAGGAGCGCGGCGCTCTCGTAAAGACGCGCTTGTTGCTCGTGATTCCGTTGAATTGGCGGCAGTGAATGGGGCACAGGGCTTCGGCTTCGTCTGCTTCTCAACCCCAGACGAAGCCACGAAAGCAGTGACAGAGATGCACCTAAAGGCTGGAATTGGTGCAGGGTGCAGCGGGTTAGGGATGTCTTCCTGGATCTTTGCACCATGCGTGCTGCAGGTAGTCAAGGGGAAGCCCCTGTACGTGGGCCTGGCCGAAAAGCGTGATGTGCGTGCTGAGCGATTGCGTGGCTCGAATGCACTGATGAGATCTGTTGAGATTTGATGAGGCTCCCAGCGCCGTCCGACATTTCTGCTTGCTGCCGCTGAGGTCAACGCTATTCCCCTGGTGGTATGGGCAAGGGCATGGGAGGAAAAGGGAAGGGCGGAAAAGGCGGCATGGGCATGGGTGGCATGGGCATGGGTGGCAACCAGATGTATGGCAACCCGATGGGGGGTATGCCCATGGGAGGCCCGCCAATGATGGGCATGGGTGGCATGGGCAAGGGGAACATGATGGGCCAGGGAGGCCCGAATCCTGGAATGATGGGTCAGAAGGGCAAGGGCATGCCAAACATGCCGATGAACCCGCAGATGATGGGCATGGGTGCTATGGGCAAGGGCATGCCTGGCGCTATGGGCATGCCTGGTGCTATGGGCAAGGGAGGTATGCCGATGCCAATGGGCCCCATGGGCCCAATGGGGCCAATGGGAATGATGCGACCGACGATGCCTCAAATGCCGATGATGCGCCCAGGCTGGTCGGTGCTGAGTCGCAGTGGCATTGCGAGACTCTGCAGCTACACCCCACGCTGGACTAGATACTGCATTCAACATTCCAGACGACTTGACGGAGGCATGCCCCCGATGCCGCAGCCGGCTCAGCAGACTCCAGCACCTGCCGCCAACAACCCAGGCAAGGCAGCTCTTCAACTTGTCGATCTGCACTTCTGCGCCATAAGCTGTAGAGGTATGTGTGTGTATGCTTTAAAATGGGTATCGCCAATTTTGGACCAGCCCGGGCTCATTTCTGTGAGAGTGGGGTGGGGTCCAAAACTCAGTCCGCGGCATGACGTTTGAACATGTGGTTGTGAAGCGGCCGTTGGGTGTTTTGTGGTCCGGGTCATCTCCCACAAGGCTGGTTGCTCCTGTTTTTTGCAAGCGATAGGGATTGTCTCCGCAGCACTGTGTTGTATCTGCAGCTACAAAGTTCCAAATCCACCCCGGACGGGGTGTAAATCCCACCGGCCCGAATGTGCATCCACTGTAGCTGTTGCCATGTGTTGCCCGTTCCCTCAGACTCAGTCACCAGGCCCAGGAACGTTTGCGAAAGTGTTCCTTGTGAGAGTGGTCTGACCTGCCAGACAAGCCCGACCCTATGAAATGTGCCCGGGTTCATTTCCGACAACTGCCCCACCTCCCTCAAGTGGGTGAGTGGGTGGGTGGGCGGGCGGAGTTTCTGCATGTATGTATACATGTAGTACGTACGTAGGTATGTATGTATGTATGTACGTATGTATGTATGTATGTATGTGTGCCTGCAGATTGTTTGAGTATATCGGTATGTGTGTTCATGCCTCTACGATATATACATATATATAGATATGTATATATATATATACATATACATATGCGTGCAAAGGATCTGGGCAGCAACTGACAGCAGCAGCCCTTGCTGCGGCTCCGCCACCAGCACTTGCCTTAGCCAAGCACAGTCTGAGAGGAAGAGTCCGAGCAAAGCGCATGCGCAGAACCACCGCGGAGAAGACGGGCTCACAAACGTATTTACAGGGCAAGCACTATGAACAAGTGCACTCGTAGCCTGCAGCGCACGGGGAAGGTTGGATCACCCTACCAAAAAGCAATCACAAGTCGTCATCTTGCTGAGCGTCGAAGGACTACGCACCCCAGCAAGAACCATCTTAATTGGCCCGAGCACAGCGTGTCAACGTCTCCAAGTCGTGACGGCAGATGCCTGGGCATTTTCGCAGCTTTTCAGGGTCTGAGCTCACGCTGAAAGCACCGTAAGGATGTTCGTAAAATTCTTCGTAGATTGAAAGATTGAATGCTGTCGTATCTGGTGCCCGAACCCAGAAAGCTCTCTGGGCAGCCGAACCCTCGTTTTCTCGATGACGTTGGCAAAGAAGCGCGACAAGCCAGAAAAGTAGAAGCTTGTTTCCGCCACAGTGATGGGACTTTGGTTTGTGCTACGCCCAGTCTGGTTGTGGCGAGAGCACCCTGATCGCTAAAAGATGCTGGCACCCTAAGCAAGGGTTGCTATTAACCTTGACAGTGGAATGGACACTTCCCTGAGTCGGGGTGGAGGGTGCCTCTCGGATCCGAAGACCAGCGATGAGCGCGACACATGTGGCGACGTGAAAGCGCCACTGCGAAATCCTCATAATCTCCTTGAGACTTTTCCTGGAGGCCTCAAGGCTCAAGACTCAAGATCCTGTAGCCTTGCGTCTTCCAGTGCGACCTTCTCATGCACGGGTCGTGACTTTTGGGTCCGTGCCGGGACCTTCATTCTCTGTGGAGGCTTGGAGGCTGAGAGCGCCAAGCTGTTGCGCTTTCTTTTGGACTCGGAAGAGTAGGAGTATGAGTTCGCATCTTCGAGAGCTTTTGCTGCACGTGCTGATGCTATCCAAGATTCGAAGCTCAGGTGCAGAAACAAATGATCGGTGAGCGGCTTTTCCCGGCCATCTCCAAGTTCCAGCCCGAGCTGGCGGGCAAGATCACAGGACCGGCGGGATCCGGAGAGGAAACCGGAGGGTTTGCGAATATTTGCGATCAGCTTTAAGCGATCCTTCTCGTCAGCAGGCATGATGCTCGAGATGGACAACTCTGAGTTGTTGATCCTGTTGGACAGCCCGCCCCAGCTCAAGGCGAAGGCAGGCGCTGTGGCTGTGTTGCAGCCCAAGATATAGAGACGTGTTCTTTCGAAGACATTCTCACTGTCGTGTAGGTGGATGAAGCAATGCGTGTCCTCGAACAAGCCAAGTGATTTGGATTGCACCAGTAGAGACAGCTTGTGATGTACAGTTGGCTTCTGTTCAGTGTCCCGAGTTGGCTTTTCTGAGCCGTGTGATGCTCTCTTCGGGCTTTCCAGGTAGAGACGGACAGAACCAGGACCTTGGAGACCTTGGAGTGCAGACAGATGGATAGGTCCGGCTTCTTTGCCAAGAGTCTCCAGTTTGCATGTGGAATGCAGGACAGGAGCCTCCTTGAGGACAGATTGACTGTTGTATCCAGGACCAAGTGACTCCTTGAATTGCAAGATGTGCGCCTGCTTGAGTACCGAGAAGACCGAGCATCATTTTCTTGATCGCTTCAGGAGATGCCCTTCGGGGCGAAGTGACAGACGTGAGAGCTTTGACAAGACCTTCTGATCCCTTAAAGGCAGCCTTCTCTTCCTCAAGTGCCAGTAGCTCTAAGGTGTATATAGGGTTGGGCATATAAAGGGTTGAGTAGACGTCTCGGAAGTTAACAAGATTGTTTGAGCAAAGTTGTTATTCCGGTACTGAAAGATGGCTGTCTAGGGAAGCGTGACTCCTCCAAGCACGCAGAACCATGAGATTGGCTTAGTATACTTCTTCGGGCATGCTGGCCCGCGGCAGCGTGTGAAGTACAAAAAGCGCTTTTGCAGAATATCCCCACCCTCCCAGTTTTCCTGTGTTCGTAGTGCTCCCGGCAAAGGCTTGAGGTGCCTGTGCAAGTCGCTAGCATGTTTAGAAGCATTTATTCGAAGCAAAGAATTGTCTTCACACCCTGACCGCCTTAGGCATTTGGACTGACAGGCCCTGGTTTGTGGGCAGCATGGGATTTCCAAACATACCTTCCTTTTTGCCTCGTGTCTCACCCACACCTGTTGGACGGCCAAACAAGAGATTAGAAATGACTAGGACAACTTAGGACAAGATGTGAGCCGGCTAGCAGAAGTGGGTGCTAGATGTCCAAGATGTCTCGTTGTCCGAGCTCCGAGCTGGGACTGGTGTGGCTTGGTACCGCACTGGCGCAGATGATCGCGGGTTTTCAAGCCACTTTGGCACTCGCAGTGTGCTCCGAATGCCTTTTTGTGCCTTCTTGGGGCATGTTGAAGCGTTCAGCAGCTTGAGGGCGAAGCGCACTGAAAGGAGTGAACTCCACCGGCTCAAAGACTCTGGATATGAAGTCAAAGCATCTTTAAGGAGGACAGCGATGTGACCAGAAAGGTGTCTCACACTGCCGAGAGCTGTGTGTTGTGGCTTGTGGCTTGTGGCTTGTGGCACAGACTACCATGAGGCAACCACTGAGCGTACTTGTGATTCAGCAGCGTGTTTTCATGCTAGATTTTTGAGAAGTTCGACGTCGACAAGGATGGCATTCTGAACTTGAAGGCGCGCTGAGACTGACACGCAAGGGCCGTAACCCGGAGAGATAATGTGCGCGCTTTCGCCTCAGGAGTTCAACGAGCTTCAAGTCAGCACCGAGGGCGGCGAGGCAATGTACAACACCGATCAGCTTAAGGCCAGAGGATGATCACGAATCTTGCGCAAGCTGAGCTGCATCTCATTATGCGGCGGGTTGGTGTTTTGCAGGCTTGAAGAACTTCGCGAGCACCACTTTTTGTTTTTAGTACACATGAAAACAATAAATTTATGGAGTTAAAAGAAAACAGATCTCTACAACTATGAAGACACATATGCCTTGTATTCGTAGATAGAGAGATACATATATATATATATATGTATGTATGTATGGTACTTATACATATGTTATACACATCAACATTCTGATTCTGCACATGAAAATAGATGAATATTAACAAGTAAACATCAATAGCCGACAAATCAATATCTGTTTCTCTCCACACACATATACATATATATATATATATATGTGTGTAGAGTCTACATGTACGTATGCATCTGTATATGTATATGTATATATATATATATGTATCTGTGGTCCAGGGTGGGCTTTCCCTTCCCGCCCTGAGGCCGCTAGTACACCCCTTCTCCGTGGCTTTGCCATATACCTCTGTGTCTCCGCGACAGCATTCCCACATGACCCAGTTCAAACTATGTGTGAAGGAATCTTATCTGGCTCCTACATAGTGTAGCCCACTCATATGCCAATACATTGCAGAGACGATCGTTGCATGCAAGGGTGAGACGGTTGCAATTAAGAGCCAAATTGAACAAATTCTTTGGTTACATAACGTCTTCGCTTATTGAAATGGCGAAAGGACAAGATAATCAGTTCATGTCGTACAGTCGACCCCAAGTCAGACCAATTGATTCAAGGGTTGCAGAAATTTTAGCGAGCTAGAGTCGTAGGAGTGGCCTCTGCTGTTATCATTCTGAGGGGCCGCCTCATATAATATGGGTTTGTTGTTACTGCAGCTGGCTGGAGCTAGATTTTCATTCTTCCTGATAATCTGGGGCTAGTTTGTTTAGTCTACTCAACGGTCCAAGCTGGAAAGTCCTAGGCAGCAGTTGTATTTATAGACGGGAGTTGGCTCTCCTCTATAACTCCAACGATACAAGATCATTGCCATACGAAACCACTGTGTTGCTCATCTGAGGGGTAGACTATCAGCCCTTGGGCGGATCAGCTTTCCTGCTCACTTTGCTATTAATCAGAGGGGCAGACTTGTACAATGAGGAGAAGCTTTGCCACTGCTTCCTAGCTATTAACATGGGTAATTTCAGTCAGTGCACTTAAATGGAGAGGGCAGACTTGTATAAATGGTAGAGACTACATGTCTTGTTTGGCTGCAATTCGGCATTAGATAGACTACTCCGCCTCCTCATGGCTAGGGTCTAGTTTGCTCAAACCGACTAGCCAAAAGCAAATTGGAGACCATGGAGGCCTCGTGCCCAGAACATCGGAGAACCACGGAACAAAAATCGAAGACCATGGTCTCCTCGTGCTTCAAACGGACAAAACTCAAAGCAACGAAACCAGCCATGTAAACCGAATTCACCTCCGAAACAGTTGGAGACTACTATCAGCTTTGGAGTACTTGTGGTTTCGTTCGTTTGTTGTTCTTTCGTAGTTGTTTTTGGTGTCTATTTTCTTTTGCTACAGGCTTTTTCGGTTTTTGGTGACCACGCCTCTGCGCCACCACAGTCTCCGGCGGCGACATGTAAGGAAAGCACATGTTGTGTTCATATTGGCGGTGGGGGGGGGTGTTAGGATATATGTGTATATACATATATATATATATATATGCATATGCGTGCGTCTCTGTGTGTGTGTGTGTGTGTGTGTGAATGCATGTGGTTCTTTCGAAAATCCTGTGCGCTGAGGGTCTCATGGTTCCTGCAGCCTTCAAAGCCCAGAATGATTTGAGAATCCAGGACCTTCCTTTCGATGGGGTTGGGGGGGGGGGGAGGTTCATTGGATTCTACATATGTGCTTCCTTGCCAGCAACTCCTCATCGCCGTGAATCCTGATGTTGAAGCTCCAGAAAGAGGCGCGGCTTGAGAGCATTGCAGGGCTTCAGGTTGCTAGGCTCAATGTTGTCATGCTGTCTCTTCGCGAGGCATGCCTTTTGCAGATTACCGCCGACTTTACTTGGAGGGTGGTCTGCGAAGGGTATCACCTCCCGCAGCTGATGTTGTTTGGATGGCAGCCCTTCACACTTCAGTGCCCCTGTGGCGATGTCTCTGGCTGCTCTGCGAAATGCACACCAACATGCACGGCCTAAGTAGCTTGCTGCAGACACCTGACCCAAGTTAACCATGTCCCATGGTTACGTGGTCTGACTATGCTTGGCCTCGTGCTCGAGTCATGTCTCGATTCCAACACAAGCATATACAGACACTGTTCTTCAGAGCTGAGCAGTGTTCTTCGTACACCTGCATGCGCAGAGCGCAGTGATGGCATGCCTGCATCATGCCGGAAGTTCCTATGGGCCACCACAGACGCCGCCTTCACACGCGGCGGGCCATGGCACCAAGCGCACAAGCATCTCTGTGAAGCACTGCGTTGCACTGCGTTGCACTGCGTTGCACTGCGTTGCACTGCGTTGCACTGCGTTGCACTGCGTTGCACTGCGTTGCACAGGTACCAGTCCAAGTCTGTCTGAGGTTGCGGGGGCGCTGGGTGGTGTGCTGATCTTCCAGGATCTGGGCCATCTCCAATTCCTCGATATCATGACCCTTGCAATCACTTGCGGTTTGCATCTTTCCGCTGGCCAGGGCAAGGCTGCCGGGGTTGTGCAGCTTTCGCAGCTCCCGCGCATGCCGTACAGGTGCGCCCATTCCACGAGTTGAATGCATCTCTACAATCTGCCTGATGATGCAACACGCGTGGAAGTTGATCCAAGTTGATCCAACCTCAGGCCGATGTCAGGCGTGCATCGATGGAGCAGGTGGGGGCTCTTGGATCACCCATCACGAAGACGCAGTTAAGACAGAAACGTCCTTCTTGTGTATCGCAGGGGATGCAACTTCAGAGGCCAGCATGCCGTCGATGTCGTCGAAATTCATACGTCCAAGTCGGTGAAGTGTCTGGAAGAGGGAAGTCTTGAGAAGGTGTGCGCGCGCAGAACAGACGCAGTCTGCCAGATGCCCTATGCTTGACAACCCCAATGCTGAGTGAAGGTGTTTGGTCTCATCGCCAGGGGAGTGTGGCATGCAATGGTCTCCGACAAGGCCTCCTTTCAAGCTTTGTCAGTGTAAAGCGTGCAGACACCGATTTGGAGGATTTGCTTTGGGGAGTGCACGACTTTGTCTTCATGAGGGATGTTCTTCGATCAGACCTTTCTGCACACAGTAGCTGGCTTTCTTGTCTTTGATGCCCCATGGCTAACCGGCTAACCTCGGGATCAGTGTCTGTGCGGAGCATCGCGCTAAGACATCGACAGACCTGCACAGCTCCTACTAGATGTCTAGATGTCCAAAGGCTGTTCATATACCCTGCGTGTGTCTGTGACAGGGAAACGGCGTGGTTGTAGTCCATGCCGGCAGCATTGTTTTAATGCACGTACTTGTCTTGCTTTTGGTCACGCGTGAGAAGACGTAGCAAACCCTGGGAAAATACATGCAAAGCAAGGCCTGCACGCCAAGAAACGCTGGAATGTCGCAGCCCGACTTTAGGCTTGATTCGCAGCGTGGACAGGTTCACGTTCAAAGGTGACCTGGTGAGCTAAGGATACATCGGTACTCTAGAATTCGTCAAACAGCTCTCCACATCGTTGCATCACGTGCGGAATAGAAGACCGCTTCAGTTCCTGCGAGGCTTCAAACGGCTTCTTCAACGGAAGACACCGAGCATTGGGAGTACAGACATAGAGGGCAAGGTGCACTCGGATTTCTTCGACCGGACGGCCTGGCCCCCACCGCCACCATACCTCCAGGCCACATGTCGGTCTCAGCGCAATACAAAGTTATTTCGAAAGTACCTTGGTCACTCCGAACATCGCTGACTACTGAGACTACTGTAAAGTACAGCTGCTGATGCCAGTCATTACCTTGGAGGCAAAAGTCAACGAGAGTGAAACGCTGCGTATCTCGGACATACTCGAAGAGGAAACGGAGGAGAAAGAAGAGAAAGTGCCTGCCAGAACCGATGGCTTCATGCGTGAGCATTCTGGATGCATGTTAGATTCCATTAAGGCAGTTCAATGCGCAAGCATGCTTGCAACTCCATTGCTTTCTCAGAAGCTCATTCTAAAGTCTTCATGAAAGTACCTTGCATTTCAAGACTCCAAGGCGTCAATTCTGGCGATGGACGGGCGCCTTGGGCTGGTCCCTGAATTTCATCCTCCTCTGCTGGGCGCTGTTTCTACGCAAAGCCGGGCTCGTCAGCCAGGGCCAACCTGAGGACACTTCCAGTGTTTGGCGCGGTTAGCTCCCCATCGGTGTTGCAACTTTCCACAGTGTTTTGCGCAGTGGCTTGCGTTGCGAAAACCAAAGTTTGTAGTTCGTACTGTACGGAGCAGAGCGAACGTGTGTGTTGCATGTTGCGAGCAATCCGCGAGCACTGCGAGGAAGGATTGGATGTCGACTTAGAACCGGCTCAGAGTCTCAAGATGGACTCCACCACCTATGCCGACCTTGTGGCAAGTCAGTTGCAAGAGGAAAGATACGTTGCCCACTTGGAAGAATGCAGCAGAGTTTAAGGCAGAGTGTACTTCCAGATTTCTGCCTGGCCGCGCAAGGTTACGGAGTCCAACAATGCCTTGGGAACCATCCTGGCAGGGCTGGGCTCCAAGCTGGAGTCTCTGCGCTCGGGCGCAGAGAGGCTCCTGAGACCAGATGAGGAGCGCTCCGACGATGCCGTGCGCTTAGCAGAACCTCAATGTCGCAGGGGAGATCAGGGGAGTTTTACAGTTTTACAGTCACAGAAGATTGCCATACAGCATAGAAGGCAAAGGTTTGTTGTGACGGCTGCAGTAGGTCTGCTTGCAACTGCAAATGCTGAGAGCACCACCTGGTTAGATGCATGTTGCGCGAAGTATTCTTTTGCGAGTGCACGCTACGCCCCTTGCCCTGTCTTGGAATCAGGTTGTGCTGTCAAAGCTGATCGGTGACCTGCAAGCTGGAATTGAGGACTGCTCTCTTGCACTTTTTGCCCATGTCTACGAACAGTACTTGCTCTGGTGAACATGCAAGGACCAGCTCGAAATTCTTGGCAATAAGGATGCCGAAGTTTTGCAGAAGCTGCAGCAAAAGCCGGAGATGCTCAGCACAGCAGAATTTCTTTCATTCATCGTTCCTTTTTGGGCTCCAAGGAACTTGGTTCCTTGTCAAACAAATGCGTCGAGTAAGGATACTGCGGCAGCTTGCAGACGAGCCGTTGCCGTCAATTGAGCGCCCAAACAATGGACTGCTCCTTGAGGCGCTGGGTTCCATGTACAGTTGTTCACATCTTGGGGGTTTTCGACCATTGGACAGCACAGGGTAAGGCTTGGCCTGTGTATCCAAGTGTGCGTGTGCGTGTGCGTGTACGTGTGCGTGTGTCATGCGCCAATGCGCCATGGCTTGAGGGATGTCTGAACGGAGCTGATGGGAGCCTCTTTGCTCTTTCAATGGGAGCTTGCTCCAGATGGATGCGGGGGGGGGAGGGGGGGAGGGGGGGGAGGGGGGGTCATGCCGCAGGAGTGGCCGCAGTTTGTCGAGCAGTCCCTGGGCCCCATCGTGGTGATCCTTGGATCGTCCTTCCTGGTCGCCGTGCTCTCCCGACAATTCCTACGAGTGGTGACTGAATGGAGGCGCAGTCGAGAAGAATCGAAAGCTGAGCGGATGCGCAAGATTCAGCAGCTCATCTGCACATTCTACACCCTGGTCGGGGATCAAATCGCACAGTGATTCCCACATTGGAACGTGTCAACATCTTCCCACCTCTCGAAACACGACAATCAAGAGCAGCGACGTCAGAGAGTTGGGGTACCTGAGAACAGAGATGGCTGCACGCTGTTCTCTCCACTAAGAAAGAGACAAAGAGGTACCAGGATTTATGATGATGCCGTTCGGCCGACTGGTACAGCATAACTTACAATTGTCCAATATTGTTTGCAAAACTCTTCAAGGTTGATCGGAGATCTACGAACAGATCAGGGCCCATCATTGCTTTACAACTGCTCATGCTGCCCACTACTTGCTGTCTTTGCGAAACCGTCATGAAAACTAGCTCCTTATTTTTTCGACGGGTCACTCGAGGCCGTTCCTTGTTGATGAATCAATAGTTAAAGCCCCCCCCCCCCCCCGCCTGCGCCCCACCGAAAAGAGTGTCTCCTGCCTTCTTGCCCCCCCGCCCCGTCCACCCTAATTGGGGGGGGGGGCATTCAGGTCTCCCCCTTCCGAATAAGGCCCACAGTACTTCTTTACTTCTTGTTTACAGGCTGTGTGCGCGATTGGGACTGCGGGCTTTGCCCTTGCGCACGACGGAAAAACATTGTCTAGTTTCTGTGGCCCCAATCTCATGTTGCCTGCAGTTTATGCTAGGACTGCCGAGATGCTGGAAATCAGATGTTGTGTATCTTACGAGCTCTGTGTATCTTACGCATCTCCTGCGAAGTAGCAGCAGGTAGACGTTGCAGACTGCGTGTGAACTGATGCTGCACAAGTGAGACAGGAAAAGCAGGGAAAGTTGCTGACGAGCAATCACCTCCTCAACACGAACAAAGCAAGCCTGTGGCTTGCCCTTGATGGGAAGGGAGCCTACTTCCAAAGAAACATCCGAGAGTGAGACAACGAGCCAAAATGACCATGGGTTTTTGTCTTTTAATAAACCCCCCGCTTACCTGTCGATCGAAAGTTTCCCTGTTTTACTTCAAGCATTGGCTTGTTGGTAGTTCCAAACAAGGTCTTTAGCCTCGTATTCCATGATGTAAGCTTAGGCCGCCTCAGATAGAGAATCAAACTTCAGATGTGGGCTGTTGGGTGTTGGGCATTGGGACTGAAAGCTTTGGGTGTTGGGAGACGGGTACCTCGGGTTGTGCGTTTCGCGGCTTTTGAAGCTTTCCCCCTTTCCTTCTTCCTTCTTCTTCCTCCAGCTCTCAGAGACGTTGAACTCTTTCTCTCTCTTCGAGAAGCACAGGCTCCGCTTCGAGCAGAGGAGAGGAACAAACACAAAAGCTCTATGTGGCAATTTTTGTTTCAAATACTCTTTTTGTGTACTTTTTTGTGGGGCCCTTCAAACCTCCAATTTGCTTTTCGTCTCTGGGTCCTCATCATGGCCTCTTCTCCCCGCTCAGGAAGCGCCGCTTTCAGGCCTTCACGGGCGTTTTCAATGGTGCGTTGGAGAATCTGGCGAAGGGTCAGTTCACTCAGGCAGGCTTGAAGCCAGCGTTGGGCACATGCGGCTTGGGGTAACGGGTGTTGACAGCTCTTGGCCCTTCCGCCCCTCCGGCGCTGCATGCGATTGATTATACGAGGTCTCTCGTTATCAGTGGGGGGGGGGCAGCGAAAAGGAATCGCATCGAAGTAGCACAGTGATATTGAAAGAGGAAATGGTTTAGACTTGAAGATCTTTCACCAGACTGTGCGGATTGCGTGCAGACACGCTTTGGGGTTCTCAGATTCGCTATACGCCTTGTTTGCCGTGTCTGCACGGCGTGCACCGGGGGTCGTTGTGGTCCGCATCGTGCTCTCGCCCAATGCATGTGCAATATATTGCAGCATCAAGCTTTCGTATAGGTCGCGTGCACAATCACGTGCCTGCTATCTAAAAGTCCCGTATGCCCCGTGCATGTTTAGGCGTTTAGTGTCGAGCAAAATTGGCAGGGACACGCGTTCCTGCCTCGTGGAATATTGGACCTCACGAGCTTTGCGCTTTGACGCCGCCTTGGATCGTACTCAGCTTTATTCTTGCCGGCGAAATCGTGCCTGCCACAGTCCGTGCGGACCCTCTTCACCAAGTGCAGAACCGTCGTCGCTTGTGGGCGTTGAATCAGACTCAGTGACGGTGAGACTTGCGATGCGTGTGTCGTGGCACTTTGTGAGTCTGCAGAATACCGAGCATTAATTCACATGGGTTGGTTGGTTTGAGCTTCAGGGCAGGAGCTTCTCAATTGACGGGATGACAACTGGGAATGCCAGCATTGGGGCAGCTTTATCTTGCACGATACGTTTGTTGGCAGGATCATCAAGGCTGAATCCACACTCGTTCGGGTTGGCCTTGCCCCAGGCGGCCAAAAGCTTCGACCAAGTAGCGAACTTTGCGAACCGTTGGGCGTCAGAACCGACATGGGAGGTGCCGTGGGAGGTGGAGACTGTCTCACGGGCAGAAGCTACAAGCACTCTGCTCTCCGAGGAGCTCCTGCGGGCCGAAGTTGCTGCATTCTGGGAGCGCTGGGGGCCACAGGCTTGCCTTAGACTTTCTTGGGTTTGTCTGATGCCTGGACATGAATGGCTGGACTATGGGAGGCATACAGGCTGGAGGCCAACATTGGCGACTTCACTGGCGTCCCTGCCTTGGACAGCTTTGGCTCGTGCAGGTCGGACTGCGATGTGTTGACACACAAGGTGCCACAATCATCGACCTCAGAGCAGTTTAAGTGGGTGGCTGACAGGCTTGCCTTTTGGGATGGAGGAGAGAGAGCAAGGGAGAGAGAGGAACGAGACAGGAAGGGTCGCATGGGGACTGTTCGGATGTTGAGCGGTTGTGGGCAGGGATCAATTCGAGCCTTCATCTCGGGAACATTTCCAGCTCAGGCACTATTCTTTACCAGAGTAGCTGCTATACTGTGCAGTGGAGAGGGTGGACTAGGAAGGCAGGAAGACAGCTACCAGAGCAGGCGGGAAAGAACAAATCACATAACAAAGTCAACAGAAGGACGAAATAACATCGCGAAGAACGGTAGAATGACATAAGTACATCATTACAGACGGAAAGAACCAAACACACAACGAACAACATCGTCAATCACTAATCAGTTCACACACACATAAATTAAGAAATAAATATGTATATGTATATATGTATATGTATTGAATCCTACTATTATCAATATTACTTACATGTGTTATTCTTATAGCATGTGTACTAATTTTGTATTTTGTTGGGGTTGGGGATGGGCGGGGTGGTGATTTTGTTTTTTAGTTCTTTTCGCCTGTTCTCACTGTGCTCTGCTTTTTGCCTGCTGCTTTCTGCCTTCTGCTTTCTGCTTTCTGGTTGTTGTGTAGTTTATTTATTGGTTTCATGCTTTTTGCTGTTTGTTTTGTGCTGGATTAAATCAAATACCTACGCCTTTCGCCTTCTGCTTTTCTGCTTCTTGCTTTTTGTATTGGCTTGGTTTTTGTCTGCCTTTGTCTGGTTTGTTGCTTTTTGAGCTTTGTCATATGGGTTTTTCCCCTTCTGCGTTCCCGACCCTCATTGTCGAGTCCTGGGATGTGAAGTCTCCTTGCATCCCTGGAGTGCCCCTCTCGGGCTGGACTCTCTGCAGGTTTCTCGGCTGCTCTCGGCTGCAGGCTTCTGTACAGGTGGCCCTTCCAGGAATACTCGGCGGGACTCGGGCGGGACACCGGGCGAGGAGGCGAGGAGGCGAGGAGAATGGTGGACTAAACTAGCACCCCGCACGAAGGGTGGGGAATAATGATTGAATAATGGTTCCTGTTTTCATTTTGCAGTGTTGCTTCGTTCTATGCGCTTTGCCTGTGTTCTGGTTTGGAGTCGTCTTTGCTTTTTGATTTTTTCTGCGCGCTTTGCGTTCTTTTGATTTTGGGAAGCGCAGCAACACAAGAATATCGAAACAAAGAACGAAGTGTACGAAAAAGAAGTAACAAATTGGATAAATAATGAAGAACAACCAATTAACAGAACCAAGGAAGGAACGACAGACGGCAAGACAGCAAGAACAAGACGAGGATTGCGGCTTAGGATATGCGAGTTATAAGTGAAAATGACAGTTCAGAAGGGAATCCACCTGGCGCAAGCAAGTTATGTTACGTGAAGAAAAGGTTCATGACACATAGTGACATAGTGACATAGTGACATAGTGACATAGTGACATAGTGACATAGTGACATAGTGACATAGTGACATAGTGACATAGTGACATAGTGACATAGTGACATAGTGACATAGTGACGCAGTGACGCAGTGACACAATGACATAGTGACATAGTGACATAGTGACATAGTGACATAGTGACGAACAGGGACAACAACGCAGGTCGGTGCACTGGACAAATTAAAATGCTACGCATCGCCCGTTGTGGCCCGGTCCAGCACGCAGAGGCTTTCTCAGGGTTAGGGCTTCAAGGCTGGTCCATGCAGGCATGTAGAGTTTCCAATGAGTTTGAAGAGAGGTTTCTAGGGGGTCCAGAGTCAACTCAGTCCCCGCTTCAAAAAGTTCAAAACAAGGCCCAGGTCCGAAAGACTTGTTTCTCCGCCCGTACCCTTCCAGGACGAGCTGACAAGCCGAAGAGCCGAATTTCCAGCGCATGCATGTCTCCGTTTTCCCTTGAAAGCCCGAAAACTAAGCAAACAGGGCGAGGGTGGTGGGCAACATTAGGGTAACGACTCCTTGGGAAGATGCAAGCACTAGCAGCTGATACTTGAAAGCTTTGAAGGGCGTAGAAGATCTTTGAAGGGCTTTGAAGGGCGTTGAACGTCTTCTGGATGCCTCAAGCCTTCACTCTGGAGGACTTCTTGTGCAGTTTTTCGCGTTGGAACGTGACAAGTGTTTGGAGGCCCAATCACGCCCAACATGCGCCGTGTACTTTTTAGAGAAACTAAGTGCCCAGGCACTCGTTTTTCAGATGTATCCAATTTAACAAGCTACACGACGGAATCGAGATTTCGAGATTCTAGACATCTCCAAAAGCTGGCTGTTAGCCGGGGGGCTTTCGCAAGCGCGGCGGGGGGGGGGGGGGGAGGAGGGGGTCTTGGGGTATCCCTTTCAAACTGCCGCAAAAGCAAACTGCCGCAAAAGCAAAAAAAGCCATCTCCGCTTCGTCTTCATTTTGGTTTGCGGTGCTCTTGCAGTGCCTGGCAGATCCTGGCAGGTGGTTCACCTCCGCCAAGTCAGTGGTCAAAGACTTCGCCAGCAACTTACTTTTGGGGCTGCGCCTGGTCTCGAGTGCCCTCCCCCAGAGACACACGCCGAGTTTCTGGAATGCTTGGAGTGCTTCTCGACAAGCCCCCGCGGGGCGGAGTGTGTCCTTGGACTGCCCAAAGCCCGCAGAGAGTGTTAAGTGTACCTGGAGTGCCCGCCTCAGGAAAGCCCATAGAGAGTCCTAAGTCCCACCGAGTATCCCTGGAGTGCCCAAGCCCGCAGACAGTCCCGTCGAGTATGCCCCCACAAAAAGTTCCCGGAGATGCCCAGTATCTCTGAAGGGCCCACCCTCACAGAATTCTGCCGACAATCACAGAAGCCTTCGGCGAAGGATCCGCAAACACCCCCAGGTCAGGGTAGCTGTAGAGAGTGGATGATGGACGATGGAAGTAAATGAGTTTTTGGGCTTGCTCCGCTCCACACTTTTGCCGCGCAGTGTGCGGCTCTCCAAAGGCCTTCGATGCGGTGAAAGCCTGGGGAGAGGTGCCACCGCAGCCTCACGCAAGTTCTGATGCGGATGTTCCAAAGCAGGAAGCCTCGCGTGCTGCCGATGCCGCCCGTCGTGCGACACAGATGGGTAGCAAGGTGCCTGACCTTAGTCCTGGCTCGGCCAAGAGACTGTCATAGACTCTGTGCGATGGCGTGCTTGTGGTCTCTCTTATTTTCCGTCCTTCATACTGTTTACTCAGTTTACTCAGTTAACTCAGCTTACTCAGCTTACTCAGCTTATTCTTCCCTTCAGTTTGAGGAGCCAGCACGCGGCCGTGGCCTAGTGATTCGAATCTTTGGTCGCTGGCCGGCGCCAGAAGACTGGGCAGCGGCCTCAGAGAGCAGACAGCTTCTACCCACCTCTCTGTCCCGCCTCTCCCCCCTCTCGCCCCTCTCCCCTCTCCCCCCCCCTCCCCTTCTCCCCCCCCTCTCCTCCCCGCTCTCCCCTCCCCCCCCCCTCTCCCCTCTTCTCTGATCCCCTCTCCTTCCTCCCGCCCTCTCCCTCAGCAGCAACAGTGACATCAGCAGCCAAGTAGAAGCAGTGCAAACCCGGCTCAATGGAGTGGGTTGCAGATCAACATTGCCAATCTCCCCTTGGCTGGCGACTGGTTGGGCTCTGAGTCAGAATTGAAACCAAAAGTTCTTTTTGTGCAGCTTGTGTGATACAGGCGGGAGCAAGCACTGCGATTGCTTTTGCCCTCCGCCAAGGACGTCCAGGACCCCCTAAAGCCAAACCTGCGATAGCTTGTGTGGGCTTTGCACGATCTTGTTCAACGATGCCGTTCCATGCGCAATGCAAACAGCATTTTGTTGTAGGACGTGCCTTTGCTTGGATCTTTCTCGGAGCAAGCGTTGACAGCAGTGGCCCAGACACCCGGATCTTGCAAACAGTTCTGTGACTCCAGACTCGTTTTTGCAGGAGTATCATATGTCACTTCGTAAGAGAAAAAGCAGAGTCGAGCAGATCCACTCGAGCAACAACTCTGGTCCAAGTTCTTTGACCCGACTGTGCCAAACCGCTAACACACTGATACTTGGAAAGGTTTGCTTCTATTGTCGCGCATGATACGGTACTCTGATGGCCAGTGTGGCTGGAGAGTCTTCATGACAACATTCTGCATGTGTCGCTTGTTCTGTCCGGCTCTTTCGGCTTGAAGCGTCTACGGTACCGGACAGGGTTGCTGTTCCTGAAGGCAGCAACCTCGCAATGAAGCTTACTGCGTTGGATACTCAATCATCCGGCTTGAGAGAGTTCATGTCTCGGGCAGCTTTGGTAGAACTGATCTGCAAAATCACAGCCGAATTTGCTGACTTGAGGCAGCTTCTCGTGCTCTTCTTCAGCATTCCTTTTCTGGCAGCCTCGCACAAGAGCCACAGGCATGGCGAGAGGCATGGCGAGAAGCATGGCGAGAAGCATGGCGAGAAGCATGGCGAGAAGCATGGCGAGAAGCATGGCGAGAAGCATGGCGAGAAACATGGCCACAAGCATGGCCACAAGCATGACCACAAGCATGACCACAAGCTGGGCGTGTCTCACAAGTCCAGGCTGAGAAGCCAGAAGCACTTGAACTTGTTCCAATGTTCCAAGTGAAGTTTTTCACTTCTCGAGGTTGTCAGCATTGCCAGGCATTCAGACAAAGCAGGGAAGCTGCGGCACTCCGAGTCTGCTGTTGAGGAGGCGCTGAGCATGGATCAGGAGGCTGGACCCATGCTTTGCTAAAAAGCTCTCATTGGACTTGGGAGGCATGAGCATGAGTTGACGAGGTGGTACATGCTCACAGACAGAAACTGCAAGAGCAGCACGAGGCTCGCTGCTGACAAGTGTGCGAAGATGTGCGCAGCAGATGCTGCCGTTGTCGGGCCATGGGAGCACAAGCGAATCTTCTTGAGCCCAGGAGCTGCTTGAAAAGCTTCGAGGTCACCATGTGGGTCCTCGCGGCGCGAACATGCCTTCAAATCTGGACTTTGCCATGCTAGGAAGCCCCGAGCCCAGATCATGAGAGTGGGAGGATGTGGGAGGTCATTGTGGCGCAGTTGCAAAGCATCGCTGAGGCCATGTAGCGGTGGCCAACGAAGAAGTTTCGCAGGGACACAGGCAACGTCTCATTCGTTGAAGTTTGCTTGCCGGAGAGTCAGAGAGAGGCTCTACCAGCACGGCCGTCATACGCAGGCATGCGAACATGGTCATTGACGGCCAATCCTCCCTGCAACCGCCAATCGCGACAAAGCTCACGAAGGTGCGTCCATGAGAATGACCCCCGTTCCACAGAGATTTCAGTCTCTTCAGGCCTGTGAGCCTGGCAAAACAGCAACATCTGATGCTGATGTCGGCAGTAGAATGATAGCAAAGGGAAGTGTCTCGCATGCATGCTGGTAGCTTCATCGCTCAGAGCTAGGCTTCCGTGGAATCGCCAAAAAAAAACGAGTTGCTTTATCTGTGTTGCTTGTGTTGCTTGTGTTGCTTGTCCAGGAGGAGCTGGATGAGTTTTTGGGCGAGCTGAGCCCTGCTTGCCACAAGCAGTTCCAAGCCATGCTCGAGGCTCGTGGCCAGTGAAGCCTTAAGTCACCTGTGACACCATGCAAGTAGAACAATGCATAGGCGTAGCAATAGTAACGGAACATGATGAGAATATGGTAGTGAAAAGTCGAGCTTCAGCCCAGCCAGGGACATGGCCAAGCAAGAGATCTACATCATTTCGGCCAGAACGCCACCGAAACCTGCAGCAGTTTGGGCGGAGCGTTATGCGAGAATCATGCGCGAATCTTGCAAACTAACGTGGTCCGAGACGGTCGCAAAATGGTGGCGAAGTCCGCTGTTGATGGCAAGAGCTGCCTGCCAAGCCAATGTATTCAGGATGCAGACTTGCATTTGCTTGCGGGCATGTTGCAGCGCAAAGCTGTTGAAGCACTTGGACCTGCATCGGTGGGCCAACAGCCTGTGGAGGCTGTGGGGTGCAACGCATGGAAGTTCCGTTTGTTCTGCAAAGTTCACGTGTGGTGTGGATGCAGCCCAATCAGTGAAGAAATGTGAAGAAACAATGCAACTGTTAACCGTCACGAGCCACAATCCGTACAGCAGAGGCTTGCAGCCTCCAAAAAGGCAGACGAGGCGGATGTGAGTGTGCTTAAACCATTGCAGAACCTATTCCGTTGATACGGAAGGGCCCACGAAAAGACTGAAATTTGGATGTTTCGCATGTTTCGGGTGAACTGCAGACCCTGTAGCCCTCAGCGATGTCTGAGCAGCGTTGCTTCTCGGCCAACGCTCCTCCTCGCCCCCTCGGTTGTCCCAATGTCCCTGTTAAAACGAATCTCTGAGCATTCTTGCAAGAGCTTTGGGAGACCGTATTGACAGCAAAAATCGAAAACACGAGATTTTGAGAACTCTGAAGTCCTGTCATCCCTGGCAACATTCGCCACCATCCACGGAAGACATTTGCCTGACGTTTTTGTGTGCTGTATTTTTGGACTCGAAGATTGAACTCAAGGGTGCGTTGGAAGTAGAGGGCTAGTAGAGGATGTCGAGAACACGCTGTGGGGAACACGGATGTGGCAGAGGTGCTACTGGACGTTGACTGCAGCTTGAGCGGCGGCGCAAGTTATGCGGCCACCAGGGAATGGTCGATGGAACAGGCTGGCCCTGCTCGCTCTAAGAGCATTGGAAGCAGGAATGTTAACGTGCTTACAACGTTGATTCTCGGGTGTTCTTTGATTTTAAGTCGTGTCTTGTAGGTTCGCAGCTTGTCTCTGGCTGGGCAAGTCATGGAATGTCCAGTTTCGTGCTTGGCTGTCCCTATGCCGAATCGGCTTGGGCAGCGCAACCGTGTCACGCGATGGTGTAAAAGAAGCTCTTAGCAAAGGCTGCAGTTTGCCCGAAGCCTTGGGGAGACTGAGGTCTCCGGGCAAGTGAGCCGGGCAATCCAGAACTCTGCCTGGGGCTCACTGACGCGCCTCTGAAGCATTAGCCACATTTAACCGGCATGGTTCGGCATGTGCCGTACTCCAACAAGCACTGTAGAATGGCTGTGAAAAGTAAGAGTGTGTGTGTGTGTGTGTGTGTGTGTGTGTGTGTGTGTGAGCTTGCTCTGTGTGCCTTCGTGCGCACCTTCCAGGACGGACCTTTGGCGAAGAGGTTCGGGTAGCTTTCTCGCACCAAGGTTCGCTTTGCAAGTGTGGTGCCAATTGATGGTGCCATGGTTGCAGCGCTTTGAGGTGTTGCCTCCCAGAAGCCTTTTGAAATTGGCTACGAGGCACGGGCGGCAGTGGGTTGAAGGAGAAGTCCTAGTCAGCTGCATCGTCGTTTCGCTCCCTTAGGTTGTGGAGGTAGACTCTTCAGATGCAGAGGAGTGTCGCTGCATCATCCTGCGATGCAGAGAGTGGAACAAGCTGCATGAATTACGAGGACATGTGTGGACTTGCGCGCGCGATGCCGAAGAGAGTTGACCTCAGACCGTGGAGTTTACTGCTCTCTGTGCAGCCTGTGCCACCCCGCATGTACATCCATGTGAGCGCGCAGACTGGCAGGAATATCACAGCTACTTTAAGGGCTGATCAAATTCATCTTGGAAGCTCTCGCATCTCTTCCCGGTACAACGTGTGTCGAACCTGTGCTAGAACTTGAGCTGGTGGGTCCACCTTGTCGGTTTTCCGTTCAAGTAGCAAGCTTTCCCAACATGAGCATGTCGTCTATTGGTTTTACGACTGGCTTGCAGTGGGAGATGGTTGAGTGATCTAGTTCATCCAGTCAGCTGCCACCCCTTAAGGCGGCACACCTGGGCGCGTGCTGCGTGTGAATCCCGATCTCAAAAGTTTGATAGAGAGTGTGGAGCTGGACGAGAGCGGAGATGAAACATTGAAAATGATCGTGACTGCAATGTCTGATGTCCGACGCTGGGGTTCTGCGTCGTCTCTGCTGGCCTCTCCCTCTCTCTCGCTGTCTCTCGCTCTCTCTGTGTGCCTGAAAAAGTCATGCGATCACCCTGCGCAGGCATACAGCACTGACCTTCGAAAGGATTACAAGAAGATTTTTGGCGAGGACCACAAGCCCGCCGTCGAGGCTGTCGAAGCTACCGAGGCCGTGAGGGCAGTTGAGGCAGCAGGTACCGCAGAGGCGAGGCATAGACAAGCATAAGGCGCAGGCTTCAATCAGAATCTCTAAGATGAACAACAGGCCGAGCCAGACGTCCAGGACGTCGAGGTGACAGAGCCAAAGGCAGTCGCTGCCAGCGCAGTGCCCACAGACCCGACTGTGGTGCGCCGCTTTCCTGCTGGCAGCAAAGTGGTCATCAAGGGGCTCACAGGCGGATGTGCCGGAAGCAACTACCGTAAGTAACACTTGCAGAATCTTGCAGAGTGCGCAGCAAAGATGTCTAATGACTGGCTGCACTTGGTGCACTCTTGGTTGTCACACTGCGTTTACTCCTCCAGTGCTTTTCAACAGGTGCTGTGGAGCTCAATGGCCAGGAAGGCAGGGCTTTGAGAAACACTTCGCAACTCCTATAAGATGCGCCAAGCCAGTCTGAGCGCTTTGAGGAGAGGTTGTGCCGCCCTCCCCTGCAGAAGCGGAGCTTGCTGCTGAGGCTGCATCCTGGTAGTGTGTGGTACCCATTTTTCGTGCATGTTCTCGGTACGCGAAGTCAGGCTTCACTAGCTTCACTAGCTTCACTAGCTTCACTAGCTTCACTAGCTTCACTAGCTTCACTAGCTTCACTAGCTTCACTAGCTTCACTAGCTTCACTAGCTTCACTAGCTTCACTAGCTGCTGGATGTGTCTGTTGTGTTTTCTTGTTTTCTTGATAGTTGCGCCTTTTGCGTGCAAGAGCCTGTTCTTGAACTCTGCCACGCCGCTGGTCAAACAGCAGCATGCGTTGCCCCCGAGGAATATGTTGTCGTCCTTGTAGTTTTGGGTGTAATCAGCATGCAAGAAGTGCGACGGCGGCCCTTTCAGGATGGCGAGTGCCTTGCTTCCAGAAGTGATTGCTTTATGTTGTTTTATCCCATGTATCCCTTTACTTTGGGCCTTAGGGCTGCATGTAAACAATGTGAACCGTACCCTGGGCTTCTTTCTCTACATGACAGTTCCGAGCCATGGCATCGCTCATGGAATTGGGCAGAGCGACTTGGCTCTAGCACGGAGGAAGCTGAAACTCCATGTGCTGGAATTCGCTACTGTTCCAGGTCGCGCTCGATGTCGTCCTTGCAGTCGCTTGTTCCTGATTTCAAAACGATTTCGATGTGTATCTTATCTTGCATGTTCTGGTTGGCCTCTGAGGGGTCAGTGGCTGCACTATGGCGCAGGTGGGGCCAATGGTCAGTTCCGAGAACGTGGCCAAGACTCACCATGTCGTGCAGATGAGGCTTTGCGAGTAACAGGGCCTGCTGCAAGCTAGAACCATTTGGCCATTTGGTTTAGGGTTGCGGGTTTAGGGTAAGCGCACGGGAGTTGATTCTTCATTTGATGTGATTCGCCCATTATCTTCATGGGGGGCTTTTCTAGGCGTCACAATGTTACGCCCATCAGCAAGCTCAAGCAGCAAAGGGTCACGACGGTTGGACAGACAGAATATTTTCCCAGAATGATACTACTCGGACAAGGAATCCTCTCGGCCCTGTTGATAACCAGTAAACGAATGGCACGGCGTGAAAAGTATACCAAACTGACATTCGGTCAGAAGCAGCATGAAGAAACAAAGCAGTTGGAATCGACTGATCACGAAAGCTAGCTCTGTGGAGCTGGCGGGAGTTGTCGTTTACCCATGCACTGGTATTCACCTTGTTAAGAAGCTTCCAGGGAAAAAAAGGGTTCCACACCTTAACAGGTCCGAAACCCAAGACTTAAGGTGGGGGTTGGGGGGGGGGGGGCCCCCCCCCCCCCCCTCACCTCACCATGAAGCATTTTCGAAGGATAAGGTGCCGGCGCCACCCCCCCCCCCCCCCCCCCCCTTTAAGGTGGTTGCGTGTGGGATAAGGTAGGGGGGGCGGGGGCCCCCCCCCTACCACCTTCAGGTCCCCCCCCCCCACAAGGTCCCCCCCCACCCCACCCCAAGGTCCTCCCCCGCCCCCCACAGTCACCATGCTCTGAAGGTCTGTGGTACTTTGCAGAGGTCGTACTGAACAGAGCGTCCCTGTACCTAAACTTCGTTTGCGACATTGCGACACGGGGTTCCAGCGGGGGAAGCAAGGGGGCTGAAGGAGTTTAGGGCTTCAGATTTCGAGCGCCGCCACCTGAAGCATGTGCCTGAAATACGGAAAAAGCTGCGCCGGCGGCTCCAAGTCCTGCCGACTCGCTGCATGCCACCCCCCTGCGGTGACTAGCTTTCGTAGCCCCTTCTCAAGTTCCCATATTGTGCATCTGGCAACGTTTGCTTGTGATTCAACAGGAAATGTCCTACACGTCGAATTCGATACGCTTCTGCCCAGACAACATTAGACAGCATCCAATGAGTATGAGGACAGTGCATACTCGGAACAGGAGGACATCTGCCAGTATTCCGATTCCCCTGCCAGCGAAACAGAACATGACGAGTGCGGTCAGCAAGTTTTTGTTTGGATCTCTGCACAAACAGCGGCAAGGCCCTGCTTAAACATCAGGCACAATCATACAGATATTGCAAACATGTATGAACAACGCTTGCTGGTTTATAGTAGTTGTTTACTTAGCTTAGCCACCTCCCCCCCCCCCCTCCCGCCCCCCCTCCCGCCCCGCCCCCGTGCGATAAGGATCCTGCTTTGCCCCCACATTTTGCCGAGAAACATCTTCGTTCAAACATGGGCTCCAAGGAACTGAAGAGACAAGTCAGATGCCAATCATAGATAACGCTACAATATACCGTCCTCCGATGAAATACGGTAAGTTGACAAGGGCTGGTCGAAGGCGCTTCAAACACTTCAAGCACATTCCGGGCGGCTGTGCCTGTGTTCTTGTTCTCTTCTTGAAGCTCCACATCTCAAAGGGCAAAGTCAGGGTGCTCTGGAAGGGGAAGCTTCAACCCCGGAGCCGAAACCCATTCCAACCTGGTGCATTAAGTATTCGCTGGAGTGTGTTGCGCAAGGTTCGCATCAGGCTCACACCGGTTTCCGTGGAACGACCGTGAATCTGCATAAGGTTTCGGGTTGTGGTTCACGGTCTTCATGGTTCAAGGGCTATTGCTGATATTGCCAAAAGATGGCGGTGGTAGCGTGGTAGACGTGGTAGAGACCGTCGCCGTGAGCTTGGCATCGAGGCACGCTGCTTGGGACCTTTACAATTTAGGGCTTTGGCACCCCCCAAAAATGCAGAAGCGCTTGGCCACCTCTGGAAACCATCGGTTCCTTTACCAAAACGTCGATTTTTTTGTGTTTTGTGGCCGATGGCAATCCCGCGGTTGTCAGGCTGTCCCAGGTAGGATTTCGGGCTTAGGATTTAGGGATCAAGCTTGGAGAAGCCTGGAGGGTCCTTGGACTCCCTGCAGGCTCCTGAAGCTTCTAGACTCTGGAGGCTTCGGAAAGCCATCAGGAGCTTTTTCACGACCTCAGAATGGTCAAGGGAGGAGTGGCATTTTTCAAATTCGAAGGCAAAATGACCTTTGGTCTTGGCTAAAACTGCGAGAGAAATCATTATAAATCACGGCTTAGATGGACTTGTCCTGAGAGTTGGATACGTGACGGTACACAGCGATTCACAGAAATCATCAAGGTGGGACTTGGCCAGGGCCTCTCCCGGGCCAGCATTCCATCACATCAACATATCGTAGATTGAGAACCTGTTCTCCTGAATGGTTTGTGTTGTTTGGTGATGGTTTTGTGTTTTCCGAAAGCGCTTGTTGGGGACGAGACCGCGGTCAGCTGTGGATTTGCTACATATGAGTTTTTCACCTGTTTCTTGCCTGTATATAAATGTGACCTCTGTATTGCCGATGGTTTTCATAGCATCTCTCCGGTGTGCCATGGCATGTCAATGAAGTTATGTGCAGCGATGGTGCTTTCCGACTTGGTTTGTCATGAAATCCCTGATTCCTGTGAAGGCACAGCCGCTTGGAGTCATTTCGAGAAGATGTGCGCGACATGCTCGTCGCACCTTGCTTGCAGACTCGCTGGGTTCTTTCGGACATTTTCGGACATGTGCGGTATTTCTTCTTCCTTGTGCACCTCTTGAAAATCATGCCAGAAACTGTCGGCAACTCGAAGCCTTGCAAATACCTCGAGCCTCTGACTTTCAGAAGCGCGTGTGCGAAAACCGCAATGGCACGGGGCTCAAACACGTGCCGTCCTTGCCCGTCCTGTTCTTGCAATGCAAGGCTCACCTGGAAAGCCGAGCAAAACGTGCATGTCTTTGTGTTTGTCGAGTTTGGGGGAATTCAATATGCTTCCGAGAGTCTTTGTTTTTCAAGAAAAGTCTGCATCAACCAGCTGAGAGCCGTTGACTAAGGAGCGCCTTGACAGTTCGCAAAACTTGACGCTGAAGCAACGCACTCAGCATACTCAGCCAAGGTTTGCAGCGTGTTCAGGCACTCAGCAAGTGTCGTTGGTGAGGTCTACGCTGCTGTTCGGCTTCGTGGCTGCCATTCTTGTTGAAGGTTTCCCTCCACGGTGTCGGACTGAGTTGGGCTCATTCATGCATGGCGGTAGTGTGTAGCGCGAGGCCTCGATAGCAAGACACACGCCGCACAATAACTCCTCTTCAGGAAGATGAAGTCTGAGTTGTATGTGGATTGGTTTATATTCTTCGTGCCGGATGCCTACTGCGGTCAGGGTGAACCTTTCCTCCGAGTGTTTCAGATTTGCTCGCGTCTCTTGCTTCGAGTCGTGAGACAGTTGCATGCCTCGCAGACTCAGGCCGTGGGGCATTTGCATGCTCTTTCAGTCTATGACCTTCGCTGTCCTCTACCAGCGAGGACCTCAACGGTGAGCCGTGGCATCTGTCTTTCATTGCAGGCATGCTGAACTTCAGAACTGCAATTACGTCCTGAATGTCCAGAGTGGAGTTGAAACTGCCTTGATCTTTGTTTCCTGCCAGAATCTAGAGATGGTGCCAAGGCGATCAACAGTAAAGAACAGTAACTGACTTCAGACACCTTGGCCATCCTTGGTCTTTCTTTCGAGCCTGAGAGGTGACTGAGTGGAGCATGTGTCAAGAGCCCTTGGCAGCCGACTGTTTCCTAGTGATGCCAGCAGGTTAAGTGGTGCTGCCGGGGGCAAGTATTTGCCACACTCTCCGCACATGTGGATGAGGATGCTTCACCATGTCGCGATAGCCTGCTAAGTGAGTGCGAGAAGCCTAGTTTTGGACAGTTTAAGGTACAAGCCCAACGGTCTGTCCATGCTCAGGCGTGGAATGATGACGGTCGGCAATGCGCTCAGCACGTTGAAACTTGATGTCATGGGAGTTGAGGCTGCCGGTCCAGCGAAGTCAGCCCACACAACTTTGCATGATAGCGCCTAAGAAACCTAACCAAGAGTGGTGCAGATGCGTTTTCTGTTCAACTCCGCACATATCACGGCTCAGTGCGTAATGGATCAAGTGCCATTCATTCTCAATGTGCAGTCAAGCCAGATGCTTGCTTTCATCATGTCCAGCACCATGACAGGGCACTTCTCTCGGAGCACCTTGTCACTAGCTTGCCTGTGGGGCTTGTTCTCATGATGGATTCTGTGGGCATGACTTTGCTGGCTTCTGCTGCCGCTCCGCATGGAACCTCTGCGAGGCTCCCTGCATCAGATCCGTAGACTGGAGCACCATGCGCTGTTGGCACAGCTATGCGCAGCTGCATTGGAGATCCTTTCGGCATCCATCCGAGGCTTTCGACCGCCGGTCGATCTACACGCAGCCGCACTGCCCTGGCGCTGTCCTCGGTCCTTTTTAGCCGAGAGAACGCGACGAACGAGTTGCTGTATGTTGCTGTCTCTTCATCTCATGATGCGATGTGTCTGCTCAGGTCAGACCGCCAAGGTGGACGAATTTACCCTGTGCAGCTTTGGCCGCAGCTGCCGCTGGGGTGGTGCGGCGTCGAGCAACGCCTTCCACCAAGAAGACTGCAGGCCTGACAGAGGAAGCGAAGCTGGCTTTGGCCATGCGGGAGGAGATGGTGCAGGATACCGTAGATGCCTCATCGCCGGTGCCACAAAGCTTTGATCAAGCAGTCGCCTGGGCATGCTCCGCTTCCTTGCGTGCCACTGCTGAGGGTCAAGTACGACAGAGTATGTACTTCAACACAGGCAGAATTGACAACCAGGTGTCTGGTGAGCTTGGCAACGTGCTGCAATTTGCAGAGAGGTTTGCCAAGACACTTGCGATGTCGCCTCGGCTACCTCAGGGAAATGGGGTTCGTGTTCTCTTTACAGATTTTGGCGCTATGTCCTTAGTTAACACGCGATGGAACCCCATCCCTGACAATCTGACGTTGGATCACCTACCACCAGTCCTGCCAAAGATGGAACTCAAAATGGAAGAGTATACCAAAATCAGTGAGTTCTTGGAGTCATCGATGCTCTTGATTGTTGCACCCAACCAATCCGAAATGGCGGCCGTTCTGGCCATCTTCGAAGTTATGAAAGAGCAAGGTAAGAAAGTGCCCGTCGTGCTGCTCAACGCGAAGCTCCTGCAGGACAGCGTAGCTGCGGCAGGAGTTATGCTGCGCAACTTCCGAACTATGGAAAAAACACTTCTGCCAATCTTTCACTTGGAGCAGTTCGAGCCTGATGATGACAAAGATCCGGTGCCTCTAAACCCAGCGGTCATTGTGAGGGTGTGGCCTCGACCGTACTCCGTCTGGGAAGACAATCAAGAAGACCCTGAGGCGATTGATGGTTACTTCTTGCTCGATGTCAATGACTCACAAGCACCGGATTACCAAGATTGCATGACTTTCCTCAAGGGCTCCAGAGAAATGACAAAGCGCATGCGATTGAAGGAACGCCAGCGGAGGGAAGCTGGAGGCAAACTTATCTGAGTGCCGTTTCTCTACCAGTTTTCCCATTTGCACACTGTTGCAATCCCACTTCGTGTTGCACTGGCAGCCTCAGCGGATGTGACTTGAGAGGGGGCTTGAAGTGCAGCCAGTTTTGCCGCGAGCTCAACTGCAAGCTTGTGCAATAAACTCTGTAGTTTTACCGGCACTTGTGAGTTCAAAAGATTTTCCGCAGTAATTGCAGTGCGCTTGGCGGATGCATCGCCATTCATCGCCTTTGCACATATGGGAGCTTTAGCAAGGCAAGGGCTTGGGAGCCCCAGGGCGAGAGTTCCACCACAACTTTACCCCACAAAGAAGTTTAGAGATAAGTCATGATGTCGGTCTCGCGACATCGAGACATCTCGCTTCTTCAACAACCTCTTGTGTCAATTTCAGGCCTCTGCCTGGCCCCGCACTCGGGCATTGTGTGGGCAATGCTGAGGCCATGCACATCTGCGAGAGCTGCAGCTTCTGGTTTCGCAGCAGGCAGACTGCACCCATGTTCCTGAAGTACAGTAGCTTCTAGAAGTTTGCCGGCATGGGGGTGGCGGTGGGCCGGGGGACGGGGGGGAGGGGGTGAAAACGGATTACACTACACAATTTCGGAGCAGGCAGGGTATGTAGTAGATTACATTAGATATATCATTCATCCAGAACTGAAGATCCTATGCCCCTGTGTTGATGTGTGAGCACCCTTTGAGCTCTTTCAGAGCACGCCACGAGAGCACGCAACAATAATACCAGCCTTTTTCTTTCTTTCGCACGACACCATGTTTGGCTCCCACACTTTTTGAGGAATCTGCTTTTTAACCCGCGCATGAGTCTTTTGTTTTTTTTTTGGACGTTTATGTTTGTCTTCTGAGAGGCCCAGGAGGAGCAGGACCAAGGCCAGGCCTCCGAGAGAGCAAAGAAACTTCAAAGAGAGCAAATCTTGCGCTCTCTCGGAACTCGGTCTCTGCCAACAATTCCCTTTCAATTGCTGTCTCTCTTTCTCTCTCTCGCTCTTCTCTCTCTCCCTCTCTCTCTTTCTCTCTCTTTCTGCGCACAGCTTTGCTCTCTGAGGGATCTTCGGAGAGTGGATTTGCTTCTCTCGGTCGGTTTCTCTCTCAGAGTGGTTTCCCAGAAGGCGAGACCTTTGTCGAGATTGTCGGAACGCAGTGGCAGCGAAGACGCAAGCTGGGTGAGATGTCGAACGCACCACTTCAACGAGGAGCGAGGCACTTGGCGGGACTGGTGGTCTCATCGGCCTGGGGACTGGTGGCGCGGATCTTTGCGTTCTCACCCAGTCAACTCAGTCAACTTCCAAGATCAGGACCCTCCCCTCATGTACCGAGACGGTTCGCTTGTCTGGTGCGTTTGATGTTTTTGGAGAGGAGTTTTTCTGCAGCTTGTTCCTCTCAGTGTGAGGAGGAAGTTCTGCGGAGTCCGACTCTGATGACTGGAGGAGTGTTTCAGGAGAGGCCTCTTTTCGGGAGGCTTCTAACAAGCTGGACTCTCCACCTTCGCGGATTACGTTAGACTACCTCACCAAGGAACTTCACGAGAGCTTCGGCTTGGGACGTCTGTAGGCCTTAGGCCCTAGGCATTGATGACCATTTGCTTGTGATTCTCAGTTCTTTGAGATGCATCGAATCGAAGTTTCGATGTGCACAATGCTCAACAAATCTCGACAACCTGAGCCAAGGGCACGCCAGGAGACCAGCTCGGTGAAAGCCATGCCTGGCACGGACTCGCGAGGCTCGTGTCCAGCTCGTGGATTTCACAAACTGGTCCACGTCACAGAGACCTCGCTAAAGTCACTTTAGGCACATGTGGTACAAGGGTGATATTTCAAGATATATGATTCAGATTGAATCAGGGAGTTCATAGCCTTCCATGTCGAATCCGAGGAGATGAGCAACATGCCAGAAGTCCAGGCTTTGGAGCTCTACGAAGAACAAGCTCAAGCCACTGTGGTCGCGGGAAGTTTTTTCACGCTGCTATGCTTGGGTTTCCTAGTGGTGTCACGGCTACACATGCGGCGCGAAGAGTATACCGACCATCCAATGGCATTCTATGCTCGCCTCGGTATCTTTCTGCCGCCGCTGATGGTTGCGGCTTTTGCGAGCCTGATTCGCCCATTCCCGGAGAAGCGGCACAACTTCGAGAACAGTGACAAAGACTTGTCCAATCCGACCTACATCACCCCCGCCACACACTGCGCTGTCCCCTAGTTGCAAGAGCACATGAAAAAAGAGCAGGGTTGAGTTTGGTTGAATCAGTTCAGTGTGGAGGTGCTGCTGGCGGTGGCAGTCTCTTGTACGTCCCTGGCCGTGGCCCTTCAGCTGCATGCACCGCCACCGCAGCTGGCGACGAAAAAGCCGCTGTGGAGTTCCCCCATCGCCCCGCTGGAGTGGCGACCTGGCAGATCGAAGCAGATCTGGTTTCAGCAAAAGTGTGTCGCAAGAAACGAGGAGCAATGTACCTATTCAGCTAAGGACGGTTGAAGAGTGGCCGATGCCAGAACCTCGATCGTGAAGTTGCGCAGACTGCTACGGATCATGCGGTCAAGCAGGATCGCTGAACTCCCTTGGTACGACCAGGTTCTTCAACCCTACTGGCATCGTGGCGTTGGAGGCCGTGAACTTGTGACTTTCGATTCCGACATATTGGTGATTTCTGGCTGTCATTCTGTTTGACTGCTTTCTTGGAGCCTTGAGCTTTCGCAAGCGGACAGGATGCACTTATCCTGACCACAGACTTTCGAGTCGCGCGCTTTGGGCACAGGCCTTGGCTTCTTGTGCGAGCCTTTTCCTGTGTCACTTCCCACCTTGCCGTGAACACTTGCTTGTTTTCATTTCTGGCTACTTGCGGTGTGCTCAGCAAGACTGTCAACCGCTCATTTCAGTAGCCTGCGTAGTTCGCTGTTTTGAGCACCACAGCATGTCGTGAGTGTCCATTAATCAACGCTTCAGGCACAGCATGTGTGTGTGTGTGATCATTGTTTTTCATCGTGTTGGGTCCACCAATGCAATGGCCTTGCCGGCCTCGCCATTCGTACCAGAGCAAGGACTTGCTTAGATTTTTGGACAACGCTCCCTGGCTGAAGTTCTGCTCCAGGTCCTGTTTCCATAGATCGATTGTCTGTTTTAACCGCTTTGTGTGGATTTTGTTGACACTCCTTTGCTGGGTCGGCCGAGGAAGAGTACCCTCGTCGAATACGCGGTTTCACTCCCTTGGATTCCAACGTGGTTGTCAAGTTTGCTTGTGGGCTGGGCGTCTCTGTGTACCACGCAGATGGCGGTTTGGCAGCTATATGGCCACTTGGTCGGGCCAAACTCTTACCTGACGTGCGAGAGAGAGTCGATGGAAAACTGGTCAGTGTGCCAGGCCCTCCAGAGCTGGGTGCAGAATACTTTGTACGCCCAAACATGCGACCGGCCGATGGATATCACGTGAAGTATGGACGGGCAGGTGACCTGCGGTGGATAATCACTTGTAAGGACGGAGCCTTGAACGGCCCGCAGTTGCGCTTTGCACCGGAGGGGGTTCTAAGGCCCCAAGACAGTGGCCTCTACAAAGATGGCACTATGGTGGAACGGTGGCAAGAGAGTTTGTTGCCTGAGGGGTTTATTGCTCACGTTCTGAGTGATTTGGTGCTGCCTATGAAGAAGGCCCTGGGAATTGGACTCTCACCGTGTGAGGAAAGGCTTTGCTACGAGAACTTTGTGGATGTAGACGGCATTGAGCCCATCGATCTCAATATTGGCCCGGGAGAAGGACCTGAGGGTGTGGAAAAGGTAAGTGCGCGAACGGAAGGCTACAGAGAGTGGTGGCGGCCACAAGTTCAGCTTCGGGACCCAAGCAAAGTTTACGATTTCGCGGTCCCTTACGAGTTTGCACCTCTTGGTCCTTCTGTGTCTCCTGTAGAGGTCAGTCCATTCCGTCCCCAGGCAGCCACGAGACATGAAGGGACATATAGGATGTCTGCAGTGTGCTTAGATGATGCGGACGCAGACTTGAGAGACATCTTCAGCCTTGGAAAGGCAGAAAAGTTTCTGTCATGCATGAATAGCTTGACCGTCATGGGCTGCATTCCTGAGTGTAGTATAGTTCACAATGACATTGTCCACTGTAGGTTGCGGGATGTAGATCGCTCAGCAGTCTTGCAAGACCAGCTTCCTTCTCAGAGGTGTTTTGCACAGAAGACGCTTTTGCAAGATGCACGCAGAGAGCTGTCTTGTTGAATCCAGAAACATTCCTGATATCTTCTGAGTCCATCTGATCTGATACTGCAAGTAATGGAGAGCAATGGCAGCACTTTTCGAACTGAGGGGCTTTGGCTTTGTGATACAGAATCTGCTGCTCACTTGTCGCCGAGGCAGGTCCTGCCGGGCATGGAGATCCATGGAGCCGCTGTTGTGGCTCGGGCCTCTGCTGTTGTTCAGAGCACTTTCAGAGCAGTAAAGGCAGTTCAGTTGCACCGCGCATCTTCAGCCTTTCCTGGACAGTTGCCATGATGCACGAGCCGTGAAGTTCTCACACTGTGCTGAGAACAACTCCGTGCTCGTGGCGGGAGACCGGCAGTTGCACCGCTTCTCTGTCGGCATCTCAACTTGACGGGCTCTTGGACTCTGAAGGCTCAGCACGAACACTCTTTCTCTGAACTCACAGTCGTCGGCTGCCAACGAGCCAAGTGCGTAGAAATTCGAAGAACGAGGTTGCGCTTGAAGCAGTTTCAACTTATGCGTTTTTCCTGTAACCCGGTTGGTTGTCTTCACGGTGGTTTTCAGGCGCATTTCGCAGAAAGTGTAAGCTGTAAGCCCCGGTCACTCGGTCACTACCCTTTACATCTATGACCGTCGCATCTTCAAACTGCGTTCGATTGCGTTAGAAGCACCGAGGCCGGGCCGTTTGCGCATTTCCCATGGCATCCAGAGTCTGCTGCAGGCCGCTTGGAGAGACATGTTGTGAGCATTTGTGAGCTTCTTGAGACAGATGCCCTTTGTGACTCTTTGTGACAAGGCACTGGAGGCGGTGGATAATTGCCGTATGGGAGGGATCTCTGTCCAGGTATTCGCACGGCTTCCGGCAACAACAGCGCCGATGACAAGGAGTGCATGTACATTCAAACGCGCTTTTGGGACTGGGACGTTCAAAGCAGGTCCTAAGTGGCCTCACCTTCTGGGCCGAGAAGGACCTGCTCCTATTGGCCGGGTCATACTGTCTCGCTTCTAAGCCCCGGCAACTTCTGGCATCACTTGTGGGCCCTCTTCTGACTTCAGCCAGACCGACTCTGGGCGTCGTCGCTGCAAGGCGCCGTGTAGGAGTCCTCACGGTCGTGCGCGCTGGTCACGAGTCTTAGAATTTTCTACACGTTTGCATGCCGTCAGGCTTTCCAGTTTTGGCAGCGCCCAGCCATTCAAAGTGAGTCGGGAACTGAAAAGAGTGCAAGAGAGATTGTCAGGATTAGTCTCCGCAGTGTGCCTCAATGTCTCCTTGGGTCTGTAAGATGGCACTCGTCCACGGTGGTCAGCTGCCGTGTGCTGTGAGGCTTAGACTTTCGCCTCGCTATTGACGAGGCAAAATAGTGAAAACAGTGCGGTGCGTAGACGGTGATCCTCTGAGATTTATTGCTGATTGGGCCATCCTGGGTCTTTCTTTACTTGTATTCGTCGCTCCTCAAATGTGGCAATTGGCAATCTTGGCCTCTTGACTTCCCACCATCATTCCTCCCGCGCTTGTCTCCTTGCTAAGTTTTGTTTTTCTCACAATAGTTTGATGTAATTTCCCAGCTTCCTGTCGGCATTCCCATATATCGGCTAGGGCCTGTAGAACTGAAGGGCCCGTGGGCACTGAATAGCCTAGGAAGTGTTTTTTTGCAACTTGCCCCCAAGCAAGAAAATGCAAACCTTTGCGTTCAGGCGGTGTCGGCGTTGCAGGTGGATGAGGCTGGACACGACGTTCAGCTTTACGGTACTGCAAATCCTAAGGTGTGCGTGTGAAAGGGGACATATTCAACCCCTCGACATTCCAACAATCCTGTGGGCCCGTGAAGATTACAGCGAGCCACCGAGAAATTTCATCCAAGGCCCGTGCAACATCGCTTCAGAAGCTCATCAGTAGTTACACAAAGCTCGCCTTGCGTGACGACCAGCGAGATCTCTAGCACGTTTAATTTGGGTAAGTCGTCAGATTTCAAACACCCAAAGTACTAAGCCATTTTTGGAAACCTCGAAATCCATTCAAAGTCTTTGAATGTGGAGAAGGTTCTTGTTTGGGTCGAACAGGGTTGAGGGGGGGGGTTGGGGGCTCCCAACCGCAGGCGGTTTCGAGCGCACTGCAAACAATTTAGCCATGACAGCTCTTTTGAAATGTCATGCGTGATTTTTGTGGGCCTGCCTGCACATCCCTTTCGCCGCCTACCGACGTACCATTCACCAAACAACTTAATAGTGGCCACGAACCCGAGAGCCGACACCGTGCACTGCGAACAGAAGAGACGCGTCGCACGTCACGAGATCTCAAGTGAAATGTCATCACAAAGAACCACACAAAGAACCGCACAAAGAGCCACGCAAACGACCGCACAAACCACCGCACAAATCACCACGCAAACCCACGCAACAAAAGAGAAAAACGAACAAGCCACCGCACAAAGCACCGCGAACAACCGCACAAACAAAACAACCCCGCAAACAAAGCAACCACACCAACAACCACACCAACAACCACACCAACAACCACGCCAACAACCACACCAACAACCACACCAACAACCACTCCAACAACCACACCAAGAACCACACCAAGAACCACAAACAACCACACAAACAACCATACCGACAACCACACATTTTGCGACCGGTCAGCGACATTGTGGGCCGAAAAAGGTCTGGAATCATACCGGCACGGCTCCTTGATCAGCCGGTGGGAAGAGCTTCTCAGATTGTCGGCCAATGAGTTTTGAAAGGTCGTGCGTGTGACATTTTTTTTGACTAATGCTAAAGCCGCAACAGGAAGTAGTTGTGTGCAGTGCCAGGCCAACAAGCTCCTTTACGTTCTCCTGGGTTCTGGCGAACTTCTTGTTTTGGACCTCGAAGACAGTCCAGGCACTACACTTGACTGGAACCCTTGTTTGTAGCATTTTTTGTGGCATTGGTTTTGAACGCATGCGTCGGGTGCTTTGTATTGGACGAGGGAGCTGACGTGTTAGCCTTGCCACCCAGACGTAGCAGTCCTTGAGCTGAGCAGGAACCATCCTTCAACGGCACAGGCTGATTTGTCAATCTTGCGTTTCTGCGTACTACTTCGTTATGCGAGGGCCAGCCGGGTGCACGATGCAGCACGTGTGAGGCTTCCACAGGCAGATGCTGACCTGTATAAGGACGCGCAGGCCAGTCTATTAAGTCTATTGACACAAACATGCATGGAATCATTTGCAAACAGTGAGCGCGCTGGGTTGTGCTACTGTTGTGCTATGCTGTCGTCCTGAGCGAGCGACAGTGTCTTAGTTGGGGAGGCGACTAGCAGCGTCAAGTGGACGGGCATTGCAAGCTGGAAACTCGGTCGATCCTGACCCTCCCTCTCTCCTCCTGCCTTCTCCCTCCTCCTCCCTCCTCCCTCCTCCTCCCTCCCTCCCTCCTCCTCCTCCTCCCTCCTCTTCCCTCTTCTTATCATCTTCCCTCCTCTCCCTCCGATCCCTCCTCGTTTTTTTTTCCTCTCTCTCTCTCTCTCTCTCTCTCTCTCTTTTCCTTTTCCCAAGGCCGGGGCCGCACGTTGTTTGCTGTGACCCACAATCCGGCGGGGCTCAGCAGTTTGTTTAGTTCGTGTCACGCATTCAGATATGATTCATGTCAAAGATGACGTGGCCCCCCCGGAATGTGGCAGGCAAAGATCTTCAGCTTCGAGCTTCCTCCAGTGAGGCCTCAAAGATCCTCAAAGCAAGCTGATCACTGCGAAAAGCAAACTGACCGTGAAGAAGAAGAAGAAGAAGAAGGAGCGACTCTGCTTGTTCTAAGCTCTTGGCGGGAGGCAAAGATGCAGCTCAGCTCGACTCCGGAAATGCAAGTGACCAGTCGTGTTTGAGTCTGTTTGACGCTGCGAATCCAGCAGTGTCAAGAGACTCTGCAGATGTCAGCAGCATATGCGTCGCATCCCAAGATCACCCACACGATCCTTGCAGAGAAAGCTTATCGGCCTCTTCAATTTAAAGTCCTCGGTGAACGGTCCTTGCTCGATGTGGACACCAGCTGCTAATGTACTTGATTATCACAATACGTTCGCGCTTTTGCATCCGACCCTTTCAACAGTGGAGGCGCTCTGGATGAACAGCACATACAGCACGCCCGGCTCAAAGTCGGCTGGCTGCTAAAGTTGCACAGGCATTGCACAGGCATTGCAAGACCGGCCTGCGTACCGCTGATTAATGCAGACAGATCTGTCCTTGTACAGCTCGATCGACAAGGCACCATCTTGACGTCAGGTTAAACGGTGTCCCAGGACAGTCAAAATGTCAATCCGTTCTTGAGGGGCCCTGCTCGATGTTATGCCATATATTTTTGATAGAGAGGTTCCCAGAACTCGCCTCTGATGTATGTTCACACCTTTGCAAGCACAATAGTTTGCCCGAAGTTTATCGCCAGCTCGCATTAAGCATGCCTGCATTTCCCATTGCCGAGTTTACGTGCCAGCGATAAAGACTTCCCTTTCCCTGCATACGGTCGTCTTGTGTAGACAGTCTCTGTAAGGGCCGCGCACACAGCTCCAGGTGCAGAAGCCAGCAAAAGAACATACACGGGTGACTAGGGTCAGTGGGGCCTGACAGCTCGGAGACGGCATTGACTGCATACGAAGAAGTGCTACTCAGGAGTAGTGCTCCCTTGGGCTCGCTAAGTCCTGTTGCAGTACTCGCTTATCCTGTTGCATGTCTGCAGGGGCGCGTGATCGTGAGATTATCGGATGGGGACCGGGCTCAGCACTGAGCGGTGAAGACATGAAGTCAAGATTTGAGATCAACATTGAAACAACTTGGAAGAATGGAAGAGAAGATAGACTAAATCAAGTCTCCGACCCACATCGCGTTGCTCAGGTTGCTCTGAGGGCCGACAACGTTCGCCTCGCACTGCTGTCGTCCTGAGAGATCCTCCAGGCAAGCTGCATATCAATCCAGTAATTGTAGACGCTTGTTGCCGTGCCGCCTCGGCAGCCGGGCCGGCCCGCGTCCCAAGGCCAAGGAATTCCGAAAACTGTTCACAGCAGGTCCCAACTAAATCAAAGGCCGAGTGGGTGCGAGGAGTTTCTAAGCGGGGGTCCAGGAACGGCGCCAGAGGGGTCCTAGGCCTCCGGGTTTAGCGGTGTGTGACCTCCAGGGCCTGGCGCTTTCAGCCTTCGGAGGTGTCTTCGGTGCCGTAGCCTTTGGAGGTGTGGTTCCCAAAGGGTCCATGTACCTATACGGTAGATACTTGGGCCTGAAAGGGGTTCCTATAAAGTAGCTTTAGGGCCCAAGTTTATGCTTACATGGACCCTTAGGGTTTGGTGCTGGAAATGGTGGTGGTGGTTTTGTCTTCGGTGCCAGCACCCTTGCTGACACCTTCGGCTCGTCGCTGCGCCTTTCCACCAGATAAGGGGGGTGACGAAGGGGTCAGTTTCTTGCATTTTTGGGCGCCCTCTCTACAAGAGCCACCGACAGGCGGGACCCCCCATGGCATCGGTTTGCAGTGTTCAAAGGTTATTCTTTCCTTCCAGTCTTCCCCGAGTCTTCCCTTTCCTTTCCCTTCCCTTCCTTCTCTCGCCTTTCCTTTCCTTCATTTCCCTTCCAATCCTTTTCCTTTTCCTTTTCCTTTCCCTTTTCCTTTCCCTTTCCCTTTTCCTTTCACTTTTCCTTTTCCTTTCCTTCGACGTGTCTTTCAGGCTGCGGCGCTGCGGTCCAGAAGCAGTGAAGCGGTGAGCTCTCGCAGCAGCTACTAGCATCTTTAGTAAGTCGCACTGCTACCGGCCCGGTTTCAAAGGGTTAGCAACTGTCAATCTCACGATTTTGTGAAGAAGTGATCTCTTGAAGCATCGGCTGGTGACTGCTGACAACTTCTCTTCTGTTTACGTCTGAATCTTTCATATCGCTTGCAAGATGACTCAATGAGATCACTCAGATCCTCGGAGTGCTTCGAGACATGAGTTGACCAGATGGATGTGCGCCAGTACAGATGAAGAAGAACAGTACTTAAGCAGTACTTGCACTAGCAACGTCTCAGACTGTCGTGAGCTGTTGCAGCATGTTGCAGCTTTAAACCCTGTTTGCTCACAGAATATCACAACAGAAGGACAGAGCCCCATGTGCAGCTGGGACAAGCACTGCTTAGATGAGACTTCACTACACATAAGCTGCAAGCGTGACTGCCATCGACTGGTGGTCATGAGGTCTGATCCAGCTTACAGCAGCATACAACAGCATACAGAGTGCGTACAGCAAGATGCGCGCTGCCTTTGTGCAGAGCATGCGTGAATGGCAAGTGTGAGGCATTTGGAGCCGCATGGGAAATGCAGCACTCAAGCAGCACGTGGTCCGTCTTCTCGAGAAGCATGCGCCACTTGTGGTTAAGGAGCTTCCTGAAACTTGCTGTGATGTCAGTCCGTGTTGATGCGACTCTGTTGCAGTTGTCGACACCTCACGACGTCGGGAGGAGCTTCCCTATGATGAGCTCTTGGCGCTCTCTGTGCTGGGCATATCGGTCACGTTGCAACGTCTGGAGTTCGAGGAAGCTGCAAAGTGTGATTCCAGATCGACCGCACCGCCTAACCGCTATACTGCAGGAAAGAGTGCTGGAGAACTTGGGAATCTTTCTGCCGCTTGAGATTGAAAGCGCCTGGCTCGAAGAGGCAACATGGGAAGTAGCAGAGAGGAGGGGATGTGAGAGGAATGACAGCATGTCAATGTACGAATATGTGAGAATGATGGCCAGGTGGAGTTGAGCCTGCGAAGCGGGCTTCACTTGCACATTTCCGTTGAGCGCTTGGTGCTTTCTTTGCGGCTGCGAGACTGGGAGACTTGCCTGTGAAATTTCCATGTCCGGTCGAAAGGGCTTTTTGAACCACGGCGGTGCTTTTTGCATAAGCGGGGCGTATTTCCCGTCTCGGCTTGTGCATGCCCGGGGGAGTCTCGTGTATTCGTAAAGCGAGTTCAAAATAGGAAGGCCGGAAGGCCAGTGGCCAACTGTATCTTCTTCCGTTCTGGTCTCCTATTGCCCAAGGACAGGGAGGTCGAAACCATCTGCCAAGCAGATGCGCTGCTTGGAAGCACGAGGCAGAATCGGCTCGGTCGGCTCTGCATCCATCTCGTCTTTTCTGTCTTGGGATTTCAGTAGCGGTTTCTGTCGTGCTCAACTGGCGAATGCGGCAAAGTTTCCCTTGTCAATTTCGAGGTTTAGAGATATTGCCTAGCACCTGCAACTTGTGGCATCCCGTGCCAGCAGCACAAGGAAGAAGCCCTGGTTGAAAGCCGAATCCACTGGGCAACCGTTTTTGATGAAATTGCTTTCAAGCTCCTTGGCTTCAGGTCCTGCACAGGTTTGGTCCCTGTGCTGTCGACGTGTGAACGTCATTTTCATGGGCATTTTATGGGCATCTATGGGCATGAATTTCGGCAGAGCCGCGAGGCTTTTCTGTGGAAGTCCGGAACGTTGACGTTCATTGCGAGATGCGAGACGCGGAGTCCGTTCCGTGGACCTTGGGCATCACGGCAGCTGCATGCCTGGAGCCGCTCGCCCTGAACCACATCCTCGGTCCTGCCCAATGCTGGCAGGGAGCTTTGCTACTGAAGGAGAGGCCGTTCTCGTGTACATCTTGTGTGTCTGATCCTGTCTCGACAACCTCGACAGGACTTGCAAGTGCACGTGGCTCCGTCAAGGGACCTTGCCGAGAGCGACACAGGAACCCCAGCAGTTTGCAATGTTGGCACAACTCTGTCACAAATTTGATGGTTTCCTACTTGCAGATGATCCTTGCTCACTTCTCTCTGACACATGACTGTTGGACGAAGGACTTGTAGTGCGCTCGTGCGACGAGATGCGGGTCGAAGTACATGGGTCCAAACGAGGAGGAGCGAGAGAGACTAATGATTATTGGTTGATTGGAGCTTCTTTGTGCTGCCTGCACACGCAGGCTTGCCCTCGGAGCAGACGAATGGCAAGGATGTGCAGCTCAGCCACTCCGCAAGGAAATGAGAGGTTTGCGCAGACATCTGTCAGAGGGGCCGGAAACAACATCAAAAGGTCCGTATGTCAATGCCAGAAGCCTTGAGTTATTCATGTTCATGCAACGCAGCTACACACCCTTACTCGAACGTATGTACTGACTTTGCTCAACGACATGAATGACGGCCACACTTTGGCTCGCCTTTGGTGCGTAACAGATACGCTTTGGCATAGAGTCTCGCCCTTCTAGTGCAAACAGTTTTTTGCTGCCGGCTACGGCTTCTCGCATTGCCCGTATATTAGAACCGACGTTCCCAAAGAGTTTTTGCATTCAGTTGCCTTCAACTGCAAGCAGCCGAAGTTTAGGGGGGGGCAGAGCTCAAATGCTGAGCAGTACCGACACATCTGGTGGATGAGTGCCACGGGGCCTTCGCTTAAGATGTCCAAAAAAGCAAGCTAAAGACGGGTCGGTTCGGGGCTTGGCCCTCCACTTTTTTGCTTTTTTTGTTCTTAAAAAACGGGGGGGGGGGGTTTCGAGCCCTGTCGCTCGGGCCTGGAAGCCGACTTTGTGGAGCATGTCTGCGGTCAAACCATGACGCTCAGGATCCCTTTAAATTTGAGATGTGTCTATCCCACCAAAACGCATTTGTTGTCCGATTGGCGATGCGGGATATCTATACAGTCCGTTGCAACTTATGCAGACACACTCACAGGGCCACGGGGCTGTATCTTGTGCCGATGATCGGTTGTGAGATAGAGCTTCCGTCATCTAAGGCGCGATGCTGAGTCTTGTCGGGTGCGCTGGCCTTCGCATCTCAGACCAGAAAAGCTGTACAGATGAAGACAGCCACGGCATGATATATCAGTGCCCCATCAAGAGGTATCGGGTGGTCGAAGGTTCTTCAGATGACGCTCGGAAGCGGTTGTCGCTGAGGCATCAGCCAGCAGCAGCTTGGGATGATTTCTCGCCTTGGCCATGTTTTCGCACGCCACCTAAAAGTTGCACCCGGCAGTACCGCCGAAGGAGCATTGCTCCTCGGTATTCCTTGAGGTTTTGTGGGATGCTTTCCTCAGAAGCCTTGGCACCTCGAGTACTGCTTGGTTGAAAGACCTGGAGGAGCTGCAATAGCTGCATATTGCTTTATTGCTGCATACTGCTGCATACTGCTAGGAAACATACGAAACTCATTTGGCCACTTTCGAAGAAACTGCACAGGATGTGTTCGCTCGAATGGGGCAAGGGCCGATCACCAACTCGATCTTTACGTTGAATTTCGGCGCCACACCCCGAGCATAATGTCGAGCACCATGATACAATACAGGCATCGTGTTGGCACGGTGGAGTCGTTTGTAGCGCCTTGTAGCGATAGTCAGGCCATGCCGGTTGAGCTTATCCTCGAGGATGGCCTGGCTGGCGAGCTTTTTCAAGTTTGTTGACGTTGAGCACTTGGTTGGCCATTGTTTCAATTCAGATGCTGCTTGTGTTCAGACAGATGCGTCAACCATGGAAGAAGCTGTTTTGGCCCGTGCGGGTCGACTAGATGGACAAAGCCAGCAGTTCGAGAATACAATGTGAGACGGTCCTGGTGGTGTGGCCGAACAGTCGGGGTAGAGGGCTAGTAATAGTAGAGGGTAGGTAGATGGACAAGAAGAAAGCTAGGAGCTGCACAGAGAGCAGCAAAAGTGGACAACAGTGGGCAACTCTTGCTGAGTGCCATCCGCAGCTATGCAGCGATAACCCGTGAGCGCCTGATGAAGTTGCTCAGGAGCACTTTCAGTCAGTCTGAGTCCCGTCGCGATGTCTCTAACACGATGTTCCTTCTCAAGCACCCTGTATGTATTATGTATGAAGCTTATAAAGTGAGCAGTGTGTGGTTGTGCGTGAGCAGTACACATGGTCCAATATTGCGCTGCCAATGCAGGATTGCCATCGTCGCGGTTGCCACGATGATGTTGTGGCTGACCGTTTTCTGGACCGATCACTTGATGTGTTGAGATGGTTTTGGGGGGCACCTTGGAGCATGTCGGAGCTGAACTCACAACTTCAATAGAGCTGAAATCCTTCCAACATGCTCTATCTGAATTCTCTGGCAATTCACAGTTTTTCTCGCCCTCGGTGCAGGGTCGCTAGATTTCACGTCGACGTCAACATACGTCAACCATTCTCCTCCTCCTCCTGGCCTTTGCTGTTTGGAGTGCTTCCCCGGAGAAGCCCACAGTCCCGCCGAGCATCCTTGGAGTGCTCTGGCGGAACCGCAAGACAGGATGACACTGGCTCTCCCAGATTTGGATACGATGCGACCCGCGGCCGGGGTCTGCCCAGCCGGGGTCTGCCCAGCGGCAAAGCAACCCAAACCGAAGATCACGGGTGTGAAGGTGCTTTTAGGCTTCAGGGCTTCAGATCCTGTTGCAACGCCTGGGCTCATGTAAGGACCAGGCACCCCTACCGCCCCTACCGGCTATATGCTACCCAGACACCTACGGCCCGAGGCATCGGCGGACTTAGAAGTGAGGATGATCAAAGAAAACAGTCTTAGTCTTTGTCATTTCTGATGCAGTCTTGGTCGCTTGCTTTGTCCACTGGCAGACGGGGTTGACAATGGGTAGGGGCGGGTGGTCACGGTTTGGAGGTCCGATGTGTGAAGTCTTGCCACCCTGAGTTGCTAGAGGACTCTGTTCCTTGCGCCCGTGGACGCGGACTCTGCGCTTCTCTCCGAAACAACGCCGCAGTCAAAGCCACGGGCCAAGGCTTCCAAGGTGTAAATCTGTAAAACAGTCACTGCTGCGATTGCTTTTGCGAATGCAGCGGCTGGGGCAGCTGCAATCGTCACCAAGGCCTGCAGGGATTTCGGACACGCCTTTGACATTGCCACAATCACATTGTGACCATCGCTTGACGGCTGCAGAGCAGTTGGCCATGAATGACGCACCTTGCCGGAGCTGAGCCATTTGAAGATGCAGACGTGCTAGTGGTCCAGCATCATGCCGAGCCGCACGTGAAAGGTCACAGTCTCATTTCCACTTCTTGGCAGGAGGAGCCTTGGCCTACAGATCCGTTGGTGCATTTCGGCGCAATGCTTCGCAAATGCAGCAGAGTAGCAAGTGAGTGGCTCAAAGGAACGTGTACTGGCGCAAGAAGTCGGCTGCTAGTTTGCAAAAGAGTTGCATATTCAACAACAGATCACCACTGTTTCCGGACGGCAAGGCGGAAGAATTGCCGAGAGAAGACAGAGGTCTCTACGTGGTAGAGAAGGCATTTCAGTGAGCAAAAGCTGCTTCATGGCTGTACTGTATCCTATTTCTATCTCTTTGATCCATAAAGAGCCCCAGAGATGGCAGACAACTTGCTACCAGGCGTACAAGGATGAATGGTATCGACACGGGGTCGGTGGCTCAGATTTGCCAAGATGGAACAGCACTGAACAAAGATGCCTCTAAGACAGCCTGGCACAGGTCTCAATACGGGACTCCCTGAACACTACCTTCATTGTTTCCAAGCAGCAGAGCCCCTTCTGCAACCGGTGTATTAAGATTTCCCTGCCTCGAGAAAGATCTGTCGAGCATTGAAATCCGGCAAGTCTGATGGCAAGGAAACGGGCGTCCGTTTCGACCTTGTGCAGCAATTACCCCCGCCACCAGGCCATGACAAAATCATGCTTCAACTGAGCCAGGCTTGAGTCAATCTAATGAGGGTCCGGTTAGCTGTTGACTTTGAAAGGAGATGCGGGGTCCATAAGGATATGGGCGGCAGTGCAAGAATTGCGTACAGCGCATGCTAACGACTGAGGAGGCAGGTTGAAGCCCTAGATCCCACCAACATAGCGATGACCTTGCCCCGACTAGTGTTTGGATTTAGCTCATGTGTTTCTTGTTGGGGGTTCAGGGTTCTCCATGAAGGGTACAGGGTACACACAAGCCGCAGGTTTTCAACCACTTTGACTTCAGCGACTCATTCACGGCTTCCCGGTAGCGTGAAGTCGCGAAATGTCTTCGGCAGTACCTCGTCGTTTCGTCTCGCCCTACGAATGAAGAAGTGCCGGACCAGTCTTGCAGGTCAAGTCCTCGCTGGCCAGTGTGATGAAGCATCACAGCCGCAGCAAAGCATCGTACAGTGTCCATGAGACTATGTGTGTTTATGTGTGTTTTAGTTGTGTTCTGCAAATGTTTCCTTGTCCAGCTGTGGATACTTCCCAGGAACTTTGCTCGAGCCATGCCGCAGCGCGCTGCAGAAGTCGAGCTTCTACTGCCATCTAGTTACGTTCTATCATCACGTGAAGATTGCCGCGACTTCAAGGACAAGGCAGACAGTCCGTCATCTGTATTGCACTACATTCTAGAGCTCACCTTCCCGTTGAAAAGTTGAAAAGTTTCGAAGACCTACAGAAATGCACAGGGTGCCATATTTGAAAAAAGTCCCTGTGTGAGTTGCATTGCTGACAGGTGAAATCTGCCATGTGGATCCACAAGCAGGACAGTCTTCAGAAGCACCACTGGAGATGATTTCACAACCAGCTCTCTTGAATGTATTGGTGTGGTTGCTGTGCCCTGTTCAGACCTCAACGTCCAACAAGTCGGATAGCGCCCTGCTCTTGTTTCCTTGCCTCTCCCATATGTCAGCAAGACAGACAGTCAGCCAAGCTAGCCGTCGTCACCATGCACGCGCGCCCATGTCAGCTGCTCCACGTCGCGTGTCAGGATCGATCACACAATTCAAATGGAGTGCGGCTGCTCACAGCAGAGGCACGTCAACTGACTTGGAATTTGTTTTGAATGTGGTCTGGGAACCTGTTCTCCACCCAAGGAAGCTGAGACGATGGCAGCAAATTGTGGGAGGTCCCATCGCCAGGCACGTGCATTCGAGACGTTCGAGCTACTCTTACGTTGCTGTGCCTTGCGTGACAGGGCTTGGTGCAAAGATACCTGCCCAACCCTTTGCTCGCGAGGGCCTGAAGCTCCTAGCTGACATGGCTGACATGGCTGACATGGCTGTGCTGAGCATGCCCCTCAGACTCCCCGAGCAAACCTTCGAGGTTGCTGGCCGCAAGTGTGACTTCCGTGTGTACTTGTACATCCCAACCACGGTGCCGCTAGTGGCATTTTACTCGCCGGTGCCACGGCTGCATTGGTTTGAAGGCCGGAGATGCGCCTCCAACGGGTTCCACTATGGTGCCACTATGGTGCCTAGGAGAACCTTCCCTCTTGGAATTCTGCGTGTGGCAAGGTGTTTTACTTTAGATGTGGACATCAGACCTTCAACCTCTCGTCTACGGACCCGGAGAACGTGGTTACCAACACGAAGGCGCCACAGAGATCGTCACTCCGGACAGCTTTGGCAACTGCCTGTGCAGCAGAACCATGTAGTCGATTAAGTGTGAGTAAAGAAGCGTTCCGTGTCTGGACTTCTTGGACAGAGGTTCACGGCCATCTGCGCCAGGGAGCGAGCCTTAGATGAACTCGAGATGCCAACCGACATGAAATCTGGGTTCTGTATATAGTCTCTCGCAGTCAACAACAAGGCATGAGAGACCGATTGGCCCATGTTCTCCTTCATCAAACTTGCACAGAACTGTAGCTCATGCCACGGTTGGCGCCAGCTAAGGAACTACACAGAGCTGGTTCTTGGCCCTGAGAAGCTTCAGCGGCAGCTGTCCGTGCAGGGCTTTGACGAGAATTTCGTCAAGGTGCTTCGGCTGTGCGGATCTGGAGCCCTGGTGTTGTTCATAAGATTCATAAGATGTCGCAAGCGTAGTGACATGTTGTATGGACAAGGTAGGACAAGGTCACAGCTGCATTCCTAGGCCCTCAGGCCTTATGATGTTTCAGACTTGACGCGTATGACTCATACCAGTACAGCCTTGGTTCAACGTACTCTTTTTGGAATGTCCGTGGTGGGCACTGGCGCGGCATGTCTTTTCTGTTGCCATTTTGCTCCGGGGGTCCTGCTCCGGGGGTCCTGTGGTTTTTTCCTTAAGTCTGGCTTTCTTTTTCCGTTTTCGTAGGTCTGGAAAGCCTGGTTCGGAGGTACCCTGGTCCTGTGGTCCTTTGGGTCACGTCCTGTGGTGCCCTGGTCCCGTGTGGTTCCCCGTTCCCTGGTCCCTTAGTGCTCTCCCCCCCACTGAGGGGGGGGGCAACCCTCCCTTTCTCCCCAAACTCTCCGTTTTTTGGTTTGAATGGCGAATCCTTTCCAAACCCGTCATGCCTGCTATGTGTTTGCCAATGTGCGGGACAGCCATGGCAGCCCTTCTGGGCTTGCTCAATGACCTCACATCCTGTAAGTTATGGCCCGTGCAACCCGTTGACAGCCAAGTACCGCCAAGAATACCGTAATTGCTAGGGTTTGGAGCGCCCTCAGCTATTTGCAGTTTCTCGGCACGTAGCCTTTAAAGCACTGGAGAGGCTGCAATC